TTGCTTTTGCAATTATCCATCAATTTTTTAAAATTAAACACTATCTACAGATTTGCATCGAAGCGTTTCTTATGATAGTGATTTTAATCACTGTCAGATTAAATCTATACTGGACCCAACTATGCAATGTCTCCACTATGCCGCGACCCCACTGTGCTACCGTTTTTTATTTTATGAATATTGATTTAAATTTGACTATTATTTATTTTTTTTAATTTTCTCTTAGTGTTGAAAATCTTAACTTATTACATAACAATTTCTCGCTACCGATTTGTCCACTGTCAAGATTTTTATATTAGTTGGTGTTTAATTTCTTAACTTACCAGTAATCAAGTCTAAGTGAGATATTTATATAAGTGAGATAATTACACATTTTATAAGGTTTTCATGTATAAAATTAGTAATTTATTTTTTCAAATATACAATGAAATATTTAAAAAAAAAAACAAATTTTAAAAATATATAAATTAAAATATAAAATATAAATTTTAAAAACAAATATTTTAGAAAAAAATATTGAAAAAAATAAAGTAATTTTAACCGAAGTTCAGATCACTAAAAATGATAAAATAAGAAGTTAAGATATGTTCAACCTATAAAAATATTAATGTCCTCTTAGAATCTTTAATTTATCCGCGAAGTCCATCTTATGAAATTTTGACTTCAAGTTAAATATTCTAAAAAGTTTACTATGTATTAAAGTTTTAGTTAAATATTCTAAGTGTGGTAAGCACTCTTGTGAAATATTTACAATAGGATATAATTCATTTGTGATTATACTATTTAATTTAAAACTCAATTGGGTTGTATACGACTTTTCATTTAAAAAATTATGAATTATTTGTTGAGCATTAGTAACAAAATGTATTAAAATTTCTTTTGGTTTTTTTAACTTACCAGTAATTATTTGATTTTGTGTTTGAAATGTTTTATAAAAGATTAAAAATTCTTTGTCATTAAAAAGATCTGTGTCCTCTTTCAGAAATTTATTTTCACATGGTTTACATGGAAATTTATCTAATAATTTTTTACCGAGATACCCAGCAAAATATACATTTGAGCAGGTTTCTAAAGTTAATGTAGGAACAGTAGTCAGATGTTCTTGTATGGTAGGACAGGAATTAGAGAAGGAAGATATTTCAGATGTGTCTGAACTATAATCGGAATCGATAGGATTTTCAGTTGTAGTTTCGTCGTTAGTCTCGTCAGTGGAAGATAAAGGTAAATCTAAAATATTAGTTTCATCATCTAGCTCACAATTTGAGGTTTCAGATGATCTCATTAAATTGTGTTTAGCTTGAATTCTAAATGATGCCCTGAAAGTTCTAGCCGTAGGATTCTTATTAAAACCTCCCCTTTGACGATAAACTGAAAAAGTGTTTTCTAAAACATCCTGATTTAACCTACTAGTTATTAAATAATCGTATCCTAAATTTTGCTGTTGCTCAAATAACATTATAACAGCGTTGATACTCCATAGCAAACCATCAAAACATGGAGGTTTTACTCCATATCTTTTAATAGGTTGTGATAATCTAAGGTCACTAATAATAATGTTGGCTTGTTTTAGAAAATTTAATTGTTTGGGATTTTTACTGTATAAAGCGCAAGAAAAAGGATTTTTATCAAAAAGTTTTGTACTGTTAAGAACGTCAAATAAATCATTCATGTATTTAAGAAAGTCTGCAGAAGCAGCAGCTGTTGACGATTTAATTTGTCCGGTACTTACACATGTTTTTATCACTGCGGACATAGTATTGCTAAAAATTTGTAGCGCTAATTTACAACTCATTTTTTGGAAAGGGCCAGGTTGAATGTGACTATCATTAATTTTTAAAAGAGCTCTACTGGTTCCACTGTTTTTATCTATGTTATAGGCCTCTTTAATATCATTAAATGATACTTCATTACCTCTATAAATAAAATTGTATTTTAAAAAATTATTTCTTAAACTCTTAAACAAATGCGGTATATCATAAATTGAAAATATTTTATTTTTTTCCAATTCCAAAAATGGTTTTTTTACAAACATACCTAAGTTTTTTAACGAAGCCGTATTATTAGTACCTTGATCACAAACTATTGAAGTCACAAGTAAACCTATTTGTGACGCTTTTGAAATTACGTCTACAATTAAACTACTTAAATTTGTTTGATTCATAGAAGTACCAGATAAGAAATATGCCAAAGGTAATTTCCACCTGCCATATAAGCCTCTGGCAAGAAATACCATGGCTTGAGAAGCAAGATAATTAGAACGACCTTTATGTCCTAAATCTTCATAACCCTCAACACAATCTAAAAATTTAGAGTACTCAAGAAAAGTTTTGATTTTCATTTCATCAAATGAAATTACACAAAATTTATCTTGTTGGGACATAAGCCCAACTTTAATTTTTATGTGGTCAAGGTAAGCTGAATTAAAACCGGGTCGGAATTTAGAGTTACCAATCCATCTTTTTATAGATGTTACCCCAGGTAAAACTATACCTTGGCGGTCTCTTAAAAATTTATATGTTGTAGGAGATTTATAAAATAAATTTAAAGCAAAAGTTTTTTGAGCTCGCGAATAAATTTTTCTAGACTTATTATTACGAAACATTTGCATTTCAGCTAAAATTTTAGAATTCTTACTTGAATATTTAATTTTTTTTATGACTTGAACTTGGTGTCTTGAACACTTTAATTTGTTTCTTAATTTAGACACAAGAGAATTTTTATTTTTCAATAATTTTTTATGTTTTTGAATAATACATTTAAATTTTTTAAAAGATGTACCTGGACTAGAAATATTTGGACATTTTTGTTCATAACTGTTCTCNTTTGGACATTTTTGTTCATAATTGTTCTGCGATACTTTGTGAGAAACAGGAGTGGATGGCATTTCAGTTAAATTGTTTATGAAATTTCTAGTAGCTGGTGACAAAGTAGAAGTTGAGGGTGAAAATAATTGTTGTGCACATAAAGAAACTTTTGGCGATTCTGTTGGTGTCTTTTCTTGTTTTTTTTTATAAGTCCTAACTGGAGTTCAGATTTAGACAAATAAATTTTTTTCTCACTAAGATAATCGGAGGCTTCAAAATGATTACAACAAACATACTTATTATACAATTCATCTACAGATAAATTTAATAAACTGGTGTTTCCTAAAAAATATTTATCCATAATTAATTTAATACCCTTCATTGAAAACTAAAAAAATGTTAAAAATAATAAATTGATCTATAGTCGTAACCAAATCGACTCATCTAGTGTTTTAACATTATACATTTTTTGATAAAAATCAGTCTTGTAAATTTAAGTAACTTAAATTATTCATTACTTTAATTTCGTTATTTTACTGTAACGAAATTACGAAATTTAATTATTTTTATTTCAAGTAATTAATAAGTAATTTAATAACATTTATGAAGTAATTTCAAGATAATAATGATACTTTTAAAAGAAAAACAAATGTTCATAAAATAAATAACAATTCACGTGTATAACACCCAATATAGTCCATAAATTGTTCTAATTCATCATTTTAATAATATTTGATATTTTTATACCTAAGCGAGAGGAAGAGTACGGCTAGAAAATGTCTAGTTATAAAAAAATAGCTCTACTCACTCTTTACCTTATAGAATTAGATATTCCATTTAAAATGTGGCTATGACAAATATTGAGAAATAGAACGGTTTATAAGTATTATTTTTAATGGTTTAGTATTTGGTTAAAAATATAAAAATACAATTTTTTAAAATTATTCTACAGTGTACAAAAGTACTTTATACATACCAGAGTTTAATACCCATTGCATCGATCGATCATCCTTCGGGAAACGGTGGAATCTGAGATTTGGGTTTTCTCTTTTGTTTTTACCGCAATTAAAAAAAATACACTTATTTCCACGTTGTGTACTCATTGTTATAATTATAATTATACAGATAATAATACAAATAAATATATTAAATGGTAAAACCACGCAAAAGGGACCTTAGTCTTCAGTACTCTAGTGAAAATATGAATAGTGATTATGAAATAGGAAAGATTTTTTATTTAGTTGGATATTTTTACATTGATAGGTTTTAAAAACAACACAAAAATACAAAATAGGCATGATAATTCGTGTTACAATAAGATGTAAACATCGCTAATACATCCTGTTTTTAATGCAATTCCAAATATAATCCTGGCGCCGAGATATCGTATTATTAAATCGTACTCTTTTACGTGGTCTATAGTACAATTGTTTTACGATCTCTCATAAAGTGTTAAATTTTATTTTTAATCGTGTTAAGTTTGTAAGGTCACATGAATTCATGAAATTGGGCTTGTCAGAATCTATCATTAAAGTAAAAATGACCCATACTAATTATACAACTGGAATTATATCTCTAGCTATATATATGATCCTATAATAATTAAGAAAATGTTTTTATTGGAAGTTGTATAACATAAATCAAAGATAAATACGCAATCATACCGATTTTAAACACATCAGAAAAAGATATTTCGATTTCTATAAATAATATTAAATTTGATTTTTTAGCACAAGATTTCGTGCTCATAAATAATATGTAAATACTATCAATTGTAATAATGTTAATACTAATAATAATAATAGATTATCTCTTTTAAATCAAAACCTTAATTTAAATCATTTAAACAGTAAAGAAAAGTCGTCTATTAATAATTTATACAATCAATTTAATGATATATTAATTTTATCCGATGATAAATTATCTTATACTAATCAAATTGTACATAAAATAATTACTCCTAATGCTCATCCAATTAATATTAAACAATTGATACCCTATGTGTCATAACGAGGAAGTTGATAAACAATTAAAAAATCTTTTAAAGCAAGGTAGCATTGAAAAGTCAAATAGTCCATGGAACTCGTCTAGAATTCTAAATTTTATAAAGGAATATATATATATATTATGTTTTGTCTGTTAATAAATATTTTTTTGATTTGTTTTATACTCTTTTTTTGTTATTTTCATAAAAATTATAAATTAATTGTTCAAAAAAAGAGTTATATGAAAGATTAAATAATCTGAATTATTTTTACCATGTCAGAAATATTTATTAACGATATTTTTTAAAAAGGCACTAGTATAGAATTTACTCAATACCTACAAAAAAGAATGAACCAATAAGTTTATACTTATTTGAGTCATTATGCTTTCTGTTTAAAATAATTTATAAAAATATTTAGAGATCAACAGTTTAGCTTGTACTGTAATACCACATTTTATAACGTGTATAACAATAACTTTAATTATGTGCATCATACATTCATTTAATAATTATTAAAGATTTAAAATACCACGTATATTTCAACCAATAGAAGCACTCAAAATTTACGCTATCTATCAGCACAATCGCCTGCGTCCAGCGCATCGTTTCCCTGCGTCCATTCATGATAAAAATTGGACTGCCAAAATTGTGTACGGCGTGGTCTATCTATGTGTATTTAATCTATGAAACAACTGATAAGTGAATAACAGGTTTTGAATAATAACTATGAATAACGAGTAAATCATATTATCACATATTACACTTTACATTGTCTGTGCTACTCATGATTATAGGTATCTATCTATATGCATGATGCTACTTACCCATTTACACAAGTATTTAAAGGACTACATACATGATAGACATATAGGTATATCAGTAATAAATGAGTTTTGGTCCGTTTGGCCCATCTTGTTTTACCTAGCCATATTCGTGTTTGCCTTATTCTATTGCGAGTTGATTAGTCTACCAAAATATAATTTTATTAACTTATAATTACAAATATATAACATATAAATTATATTACAGTACCATAATTTTGTGCATAATAAAGCACTTCTAATTATCAAGGATACTGAATATATTTTTCCATTATAAATAAAATTCTATCGGTGATTTTCAAAAAAAAGTTACATAAATAAATGATAATATTATCTACTATTAATACGGTAAATAGCCATGCTTAATTTTTCTTTTTTAATGGAATATTAAAGCTATATAATTTTTAAATATAAAAATAGAAATAGATTAATAATATAAAATAGAAAAATAATACTTATGTACTATTTATATTGATGGGTATTCGCTCATAAATCAACGTTTGCGTTAAAATATTAAAAAAGTTATTTCGTGAAAGCACCACTGTGAATAATTTTGTTTTTTATTAGCTTTTATACGCCAAATATACTAACTTTCAAACATATTTCGATATATCACATAAAAAGTTAACTATAAATAGTAAAAAAATCCCTATAATCTCCTCAAAAAAAGGGGAATACTGAAAAATAACCTCATATTTGAATTCAACAACTTCAAAAACTCATTAATCAAAAATTTTTTTTAATATAGATAGAAATTCTGACCCATATTAATTTTATTTAACTCAAATTACGTTTGGACCACTGCACTGGATCTGGAGTGAATGCATATCACAACGTTGCTGACATACCTATACCATTTTTAATTATTATTATACCTTATTACATTTATATATATTGATAAAAAAAAACTGCAACTAACGGTAATTTAAACATATATATTTTTTTATCTACCATAACAAAATTAAATTAATATTTTTTAGTTTAAATATCTTGGGATAATAGCCGACTATTTTCAAAGAGTATAACAAATGTTTTTAAACAGATTCCAGGGTTCATTTTCAATTTTAGAAATTTACCTATATTAAATTAAATTTTGATTAATAATGGATGACGACGCAATTGACAAGTTTACGGGACAATGTGAGTTGTAAAAATATCACTTTTAATAGTTTAACAATAACAATTTAATATTGAATATTAATTTTAGTTTCGATGCATTTTTGTGTTATTATATTAAAATGTAATGTTATTATGTTTAAAAATGATTTAAGATATTATCGTGAATCATTTTAACTATTAAATAGCAAAATAAAATAATAATTGTTATCTAGTGGAGTTAAAAAAATATACATTTACTTGTTTCCATTGAAGTTGTGGTAAAATATACTTTAATAAAATTTTTTTCTGCTAAATATTTATTTATTATAGTTTATATTATTTGTGTGAATGAATAACACCACTTTTGGTTTTCGGTGAACAACTGACTTTATTTTTAATATTAACAGATTTTATATGATATATAACTCTATAATAGCCCTACCAACTAGGCAGTTACAACAGACTGATATTCATATAGAACATTTTTTAATAATATTTACTTATAAACCTATTAAAATAAGAAGCTTAAATCTCATACATCCATTTTAAAAACTCATTTTTATCAATTGGGATCCAAGTAAATCTGTAATAAATCTAAAAGGTTATTAAATAGAGAGTAAATTATTGTTTTATTACCAAAGAGTGATAATAATAAAATATATTAAATATATTGAAAAAATATATTTTTATTTTTAGCTAGCTTTATATTTATTCTTGATATAATCAGTCAAATTATTTGTTATGTACATTTTCTTTCAAATTTTAAAAGTTTAGCATTTAAGTATCATAATTAAAAACATTACTAGTATGAAAGAAATATTAATTTTTATTTTTTAGCGTTTTATGATGGTAATGAAAAAACACCTTTGTACAGTAAAGACAAGAATGAGAAAACTACATTAAATTTAATCGTAGCTTTTTGTATTGTGTTTTGTATTGTTATTCTAATTGTTTTATTGATCCATATTCATCTTGGTTCACATCAAGTATAAATTATTTAAATTATGTTAGAATGATTAACATGGGAGTTAGAGCAAAAAAGGTGTGAGTCAATTTTTATACTCTTCTGGAGAGTCATTTGAATTATTTTAATCTCATAAAGAATAATATAAATTTAGATTTTAAAAAGGTAGTATTATTACTTTAATTATATAATTTTATTTCTATCATTGATACCAAAAAAGTGTTAAGTTTATTTATATTTATTTTTAGATCAAATTTATCCTTCTTGAGAACTGACTTATACTATTTTCACTAATTCCCAAACACACACACGCATATATATATATATATATATCTATAATTCCACAATTATTTATTAAATCTTATAGTTAACACCTCATGGAAGTGTGGCTAGTGATGATGCTGAATGTAGTCAACATGGTGTCGAAATATTAAAATTGGGTGGAAATTCTGTAGATGCAGCTATTACAACTGCTTTGTGCTCATCTGTTGCTTTTCCTCATCTTTCAGGTCTAGGAGGGTATGATTTATTTTTATAAAAATCTTGTTGTTGAATTTAAAATATACATTGTTTTAAATATTAAGAAATGGTGTAATGTTAATCTATGACCATCGCACTGGAAAAGGAAATGTAGTTGATTTTTTAGCTACACAAAGCTCTCATCCTTCTATTGGAATTCCTGGCTTTTTGGCAGGACTATATTATTCTCATTCTAAATATGGAAAGCTTTCCTGGAAAACACTGGTTCAACCTTCCATAGAGCTTGCTAAGTAACTAGAATAATTTATAGTAAAAATAATTAAATATATTTTTTTAAGTTTTAATAGTATTTCTATTTATAGTAATATAATTAAGAAACTTAAATTTTTTTTACCAACTCCTTTTAAAAGGGTCGGTTTGACTTAGTAAGGATAAATGTATGTTTTGTCACATGGGGTCCCGGGTTTGATTCCTACGGTGCCAATAAGATTTTATAAAATAGAAGTATATAAAACTGATTATTTTCATTATTGTAAAATTTTAATATTTTAGAAATGGTATTAAAGTAACAGAAAGTTTACTTGAATCAATAAACCAACAAACTTTGGAATCATTTAAAGACGATGCTTTAAAAAAATGGCTTACTATTGTAACTACTTGTAAACCTGGTGAAATAATTAAAGCACCAGATGGTCTTTTAAATACATTAATTTTGATTTCTACACATGGCCCAAATGGTAAGATCATGGAGTAAATTCTAAACAATACTTAGAACTGCTACTGGTCATAAAAGTTTAAAAATTCATTTAATTGAATTTAATAATTTGTTATAATAGTTAACGCTTACTACGAAATGTCTACTAAAAAAATTTATTTACTATATCAATGGTTTTTTGTTAAAAGGTTGTATACCAAATATCCACTTATTTCAGGAGCAAATTAAAACATAATACATTTTTCAAAAAAAAATTATTGTTTTTACATAATACAAGAAGCTATTATAATTTAATATAATACAATTCTTTGCTTTGAATTTTTGTAGTTTAATCATTCTGTATATGTCTCTATAAAAATTAATTATACATTTTTTTATTTTGTAAAAGGGTACCTTTAAACTGTATAATCCTCAAAAGCGTAGTGAGGTTTAGTGTGGTTAACTACCTTAAACTTTATATATTTTGAGTAAATATAAAGTGAAAAAAAAATTGCTGTTAATAATAAAAATATGGGAAAATCTCAAAAATGCTCAACAAATATTGGCTGTTTTTATATACTTTTCCAGTATTTTTCAATATTGAAATAATTGAGTAATAATATAATACAATCATATATATATTAATGATAAATATGATAGTGTTTTAGATTTTACACATGACAATAGTATAATTAATTATTTATATGGTATAATTATAAAGAATAGTTTACAAGTAATTTGCTGAATTCATTTTGATATTTAATTTATATTTTATACACGTCAACTATCAAGAATCTAGTAATGACTATTTATTGACAGACATTAGTTTAACACTTCAGGAGAATATTTATGATAACTAATATTTTATTAATTAAAATTAATGATAAACCTTTTTTTGTTCATCATTATTATGAATGAATATTTTTCTTATGCCTTCATAAATAAATTTTTAGCTTCTATGCAAAGCTGAGAAGGTATTAATTTTACTAGGATGAGTTTTTCTTTTGTCTGTTACCACTTTTTTTCAGCTCTCATCGAACTGATTTCTTTCTACAATATTTCAAAAGATTACAAATTGTATCTAGTCGAAGATATTACCCTCAGAAATCAAAAAAATTTCCCTCGTTTCCCATAAATGGGGAAAATTTCTAAAAAAATTACAAATTTTTAAATCTGTAATTTTTGACATTTTTTCAATTCTTTTTATTTAAAACTGCCATAACTTTTTTTAAAAATGACTAAACCAATATAATTTTTTATTTTTAGATACATGAGGTATTTACCTATCATTATATATATATTTTTTAAATTTGACCCTTTACCTGCCCACAAGGGGGGATTCAAAATGACAAAACGTTTTCAACTTAACTTTTGAAAGTGTTCCAGAAATACTGACACTTTTATATATATCTTAAATTAAAGCTAATATAAATACTTTATTATGGAAAATAAAAATTTCGGGCTTTATTTTGTCTTCATAGTGTAAATGGCTCTCGTATGCTATTTTTGTTGTAAAATTCTTGATATTATATTTTACATTTTTAACTTAATATTTCTATAATTTCCGAAAAATGTATAGATCAATACAATTTTTTTATGAGAAATACTATTTATACACCTCTTTCATTCAACATACTTTTTTAAAATCGGACCATTTCCCTTTGTACAGGGAGGCTTCAAAACTTAAAAATTAATTTAGAAAGTAGAACTTTCTTTTAGAACTTAATTTTTGAAAGTGTTCCGGAAATACTAACACTTAAATATATATATATATTATAAATAGTTTAAGATATATATATATATTATGCATATCTTAAATTAAAACTTATGTAATATACTTTAATATGAAAAAAAAAAAAATTTTAGATTTTATTTTGTTTTTATGGACATAACTGACATCAAAGTTAATAAAAAAATATATACGATTTTTGTAAAAAAATTATTTTTAATATTTTAAATTTTATAATGCTATAACTATTTCAAAAATGTATGGATCAATGTAAATCTCTACTTATATATGATTAATTAATTATATGTTATATGTAAATATATATATATATACTATCATTTTATTGTTAAAATATATGTGTATAGTTATTTTATATTACTCAATTACTTCAAAATTAAATAATACTAGAAAATTATATAAAAAACCTGTATTTATTGCGAATTTACGAAAATTTTCCACACATTTATTATTAACAGTAATTTTTTTGCTTTATATATACTTAAATTGCATAAGGTTGAATGTTTTAAATCATTATAAAATTATCTATTTGTTAAAATTTATAATTGTAAATTTAATGAGAAAAAGTTATATTCGAAAGATCAGCTATTTTTTGAATGATGACTCTCAAACTCAATTTTAAATATCCAAAAAATCGTTTTAAGGTAATAGAATAGTATCAGTTTAGCATAACTTTTTTTAAACAATATAAAATTATTTTAAGAAAGTTAAAAAAATTAATTATTTTTTTATGACAATTTTAATGTTTAACTTTGGCCTAATTATTAATTAGTAATTATCTCAAAAACTAGATTTGACAGAAAAAACCTGAAGCTAGATACTGATTCAGCATCAAAATTTCTTACAGAGTTTATATAAAAATTGATAATAATAAGATTTTTTTATTATTTGTTGTCCTGTGTAATCTTTATGTAACTTTCTGAAAACCATTAAATTTATTGTTATAGTTAATGGTATAATATGCTCTGATATAAAATAATTAAGTATTTTTTCGATAATGCAATATTCTAAAAATAATTATATTGTGAGAAAAATAAAAAAAGTCGGCCATATCGATATTGAATCGAAATATCGATATCATTGACAAATTCTATTAAGTATCATACTAATATTTTTTAATTTCAGCTTTTTATAAAACCATGAGCAATGAACTGTCCTATTTAGTAAATTCAAATGAAATACAAAGCTACAAAGTCTTAGATTATCCAACTATTCAGCAAGGCTATATGAGTTATAATATTATAACTTCATCGAAAGGTACTGGTGGACCAATCTTTTTTGAAATATTAAGTACATTAAATAATACGAATAATGAAGATATTGTTGTATCAATAGCTAATAATTTTAAGGGTAATTAATTTTAATTAAATGTAGTTTTTTTATACTATTTGCTAATAAATATAAGTGGGCGCGGTGGACACACTAGATATTGACAAAACCCTAGTGTTAAGCCACACCTGCCGCCGTAGTGTATGGATGGGTGACCATTCGTGCGTATTACGGTGGCAAAAGCACCAGGTTCCAAGTGTAGAAGGCATTGGGAAACCACTATCCTTTCCCTAGTAGCTACACAGTCTTTAGTTTCTATAGTCCCACAAATAAACTATGTTTCAAAGAACAATGAAGTAACGAAAATTCTATTATCAGAATAATTAAATAGTGTGGGACTGTAGCTTCACAAATAATTTGTTTTTCCTGTGTTATATTAATTTGGAAAATTTATTGATTTGCTCTTTTATAGGTTTTGATGATACATGGTTTGAAAATACTGGATTGCAAATTTCTACTACAGATATTAATGACTTATACGTAACAACTATTAAGTAATTTCAATAATTTATTAAAATTATTCTATATCATTAAATATAAATAATAATTTTATAAATAGTGGTCTTGGTGCAATTTTTGGTTCTGGTATTCTTACATCTTCAGGTTATATATTAAACAATGCATTGGAAATTTCTATTGATTACGAAAAAGATAATTCAACTAGACCTACTTCATTATTTTTACCATTTATAGTTGTTGAAAAGGATAGAATATGTGGCAGGAGATTAATATCAGGATCAGCAGATGTTCGTGATGGAGCTCAAATACTGTTGCAATTATTGAAAATTAATCCTCAAAATATAGTAGATATAAATTCAACACCACGTGTTCGATTAAATGGTAATAATGTTGGACTAGAGTTTCCAAATAGTTTTCCTAAAAAACTGGAAAGTTTATTAAGTTATGCTGGTTTTAATATATCTGAAGCTTTTTTACCTTATCCAACTTCAAATTTAATTCAAAAAATAGAAGATTTATCATTTGGTTTATCAGATTCAAGAGGATCAGGTATTTCTTATACCATTTAGATTTTAGTTGTGACCATTGTGATAATTCTTAAATTTCAATTAAAATTTTGTATTTAAAATATTTTTTTTTATTTTAAGTTTTAATGATTTATATTTTTATAATAAAAATGTATAAATAAATAAATATAAATATGTATAATTTTTTTATATTTAGTTGATAATGCAGTTTCTTAGCATAAATGTTAAATAAATTATTTATAATTTATATTTATTATAACATAGGTTAATAAATCAATCAGTATGTCTCTCAATAGTAAAAATGTTCAAAAGGCATTATGTTTTGTTTAAAATAATTATTAATAAAAAAGCCTGATTTTTACTTAGAATTCAAGTAGGAATAAATTATTTGTCAACTAAAATGTTTTATCAGTGTATTTACATTCATTCATTTTTTATACTAAATCCTTTTAGTATCCATTAATTTTTTATACTTAAGCCTTGAGGACAAGGGTTATTTAATACTGCCATAGGAAATATTTACAAATGACTTATCAAATATTTAAATTAATTTTTTTTTAATGATTATTAATGTCTTTAATGAATTTAATAGTATTCAGAAGTGAAGTATAAAACATTTTTATAATACAACTTTACCTATAATATAACCTTTCAATTATATTAGGAAAAATTACCTCTTAACAAAAAAAATACGTAGCAACTGCAATCTTTTTAATTGTTATGAATAAGTGACTTATAATAGACAATTTAATTAATTTTCAAGGGCGTATGTTAGGGGGTACTTGCTTCTTTATCCATGTTTTTTTGGGAATCGGTATTTATGTTTTATTTGTCTCTTTAAAATTTGTTGAAACTATTCCTGATCGAGGACGTACCTGCCATATACAGTCTCAGTTCGGTTCTGAAGATTTTTAAAATCTAAAATTATATGTTGTTACAACTATTACTTAATACTTATTTATAACATAGCAAAATGAAACAGTAAATCGTTATATTATATCTTTGATTTTGATTGTTATTTAACAGCTTCAACAGTAAATGATCCAATTTTTTCGATGAAAAAATTTAATTTAAATACTTGGCAATTGGGACGGCGCCTATTCAAAAATATATATCGCATATAAAAAATATATATCGCAACTCAAATATGTGTGACGTCACTTTTAGCTTATTGTTGGAGCATATTTTGTCCTTAAGCGGTTATGCGCACTAATCATAAACAAGTATACATCTAATTCATTGAAGTATGAAATATCATAAATATATATAAGTGTTTAAATATATCTACAGAATGCGCTGCTATGTCTGTGTGCCTATGTATTTATCATTATGTTACTTTTCCATGGTCTTGTTGGGGATCCTATCTTATACAATATTTATTTAGGGTCATGATGGTAGAATCGTATTGTATTTAACTTGACTACTTCACAAATTGTCACGAAGTTCATTATGTTGACAATAAAAAAAAAATAAAAAACGAAAAATATACCGAGTTTTGTTGGAATGTTTTACATATTATAGTTACAAATTTTCTTTTAATAAAAAAAACCTAAATTTGTGTGAATTGTTCTTAGAATTTGTATGTAATCACGATTTAATAAAACATGCCTAATAGGATACTAATGAAAAAAGACAAGGTAAAAATATATAAAACGTTTCCATAGTTGTTTTGAAGAATTGATTGTTTAAAATACCTTTGTTTTTATAGCATGTTATATTGTTTAAAATTATGTTGAACTCTGTGTAATCTAATTTATTGTTTAAATAACTTTCAATTTAATTTTTTTTTGTTATAAATAATTGTTTTTCTAGCAAATGTTATATTATTTTTGATAAGAATTTAAAAAAAAAGGGTGTTTAATGAATTATCAATAGAACTTTTTACGTTCTATTTAACTCATACTTAAGTCTTATTATTTTTAATAATATTTTAATATCAGATCATGAATAATTTTAATGTACAGGAAGTTTCAAAATCAAAAAATGTAGAAGGAAAAAATGGACCCGCAGCTGAATTATTGGCTGATGTAAGTAATCAAATCTTCTTAGTTTGATATTACTTTTTCATAGTGATAACTAGAATTATGTGAACAAATTATAATTTAACCTTTTTAAAACATTTTTATAAGAAATTTTGTCTTAAATAATTTTTAATCTTCATTTTGATAGTATTTATAATATGATACGTTCATAATTGTAATAACTTTATATAGATAAAATAAGATCAAAAAATTAAGTTTTTATAATTTTGTTGTAGAACTACAATAATATTTTAATTTTAATAAAATTGAAACTAGATAGTTTCAATTAATTTGTTTAGTTAATAAAAATTATTAATTTTTAATTATTAAAAATATTTTATTTTATAAATAGTATAAATTTAGTTAGTTTGATTATTTTTAGTGCTATGGAAAACTAGTTTATTAAAGAGCCCATAGTACTTTTTGAGTTTGCTATCATTACAATTATTATTACCCTAAAAAATAAAATCTACCAGTAGTTAAATCATAAGTTAACTTTTTCATGTTAATTATTAAAAAAAAAAAAAAAAAATTACCTGAATCTTTTATTAATTTATGAATTTGTAAATTTCACAAATAAGGGTTCAAAAATATTTTTATAGAACTTGCAATCTTTTATAAAGTTTACTAATAATTAAAAATATGAGAATAAGCCTATATATAAATATCTTCATAATTAATTAAGATTACGTCCAATAAAAATGTGTCCTAAAGTTTTGGTTTTTATTTAAATATTACATTATGTATGAATGTTAATGTTAGTTATTATTTAGTGTATATATATATATATATATATCTTTAATAATACAATTACTGATGTTCATTTATACCAAATAATCAATATCAGTTAAAGTTGTAATGAAAAATTGTCAATTACTCTTAGGGTGGTTCCTAATTTTCATTTTATTTTCTCTGTATTCTTATAGGTATAAAAAAATTATAGAAAAACATTATATAGTTAATTTATTAAATCTTGTTGTTTAAATATTTTGTTAAAAATAGTTTAAAAGTTATCAATTAATATACTTGAATGAAAAAAGAAACAAATTAAATACCATATAATCAAATTTGACTGAATTTATATCACTTTAAAAATGATAAAAATTCTAATATTTTTTTTAAGTTTTAAAACTTTTTTAAAAGATTATAATTTTTCATGTGAGCAAGTTGGAAAATTTTTTTTCAAATCAAGTTTTAATAATTTTTTTTATACTCGTAGGTGTCAATTGTTCTTTTATTTATATTATATTATTAACCATTAATGAGACTAAAGTTTGGGATTAAGTATATCTGTTGGATCGCTTAGTAGGAAAACTCTCGCCTGGATATCGAGAGATCTGATTTTGATTCCCAGTATATTGGTATATATATTACTCAGTTTCCAAGTGTCTAACAGTTAAACAAACTAATTTTTTTTTTTTGTAAGAAAAAATTCTTAATGATATTTTAAATTAATGAATGACATAATACTTCAATTTTTTGTATAGCTACAAGAAGAAATTAATTACTTTGAACAATTTTATCATAACTGTTTTATCATTTATTTAAAGATACCTATAGTCTAGTAATATAATTTGAAAATTTAACTTTTTCTAGTATGATATTGAAAATTTCATGAAGTTATGCTTATAGTTTAATAATAAATAAAAACAATACATTTAAATTTAATTATTAATTCATAATATTTTAGTATAATTGAATATGATTGAAAATTAAATAAATTGAGTCACTTAAAAATAAAAGGTTGTTAGTAAAAACAAATTAGTTCTGCAAATATTAAATTTGAAAATTGAGAAATAACAATTTTTCAATGCAGCTGATTTATGGAATCATTGTAAAATAATAGTATTTACAAAAACCCACTGTAATTTTATATTTTAATTTTGTATTTATCTTGTATTTTCTAAAATGTCATTTTAACTCGTTGGCATAAGGAACTCAATTCTAAAAGATTCAATTACAGGGATATTAAGTCATCTAAATTACTTTTAGGTATTTTTTTCATAATCAGCCACGATTTTTAAAAGTGGTAATTCAAGTTACTTTTTCTATAAAAATTGATAAAAAAATTGCTCATTTTTGATAATTATTACTTACTTAAATGAATTTAAAATTCAATTAATCATTTAGGACTTAAAAAACTTAATTTGAAAATTATATAAACCTACTTTTTCTCATATTAATACAATTTTTTTTAATTTAGTTACTTTTTTCAATTGTGCTATTTATTTCCAGCACTGCAATTATGACCTAATATTTGTTTATTAATTTATTGATAAAAGTTTTTAATTTATAAATTACATTATTAATATTTTAACTTCGATATATAGATGAGAAGTTTTTGGTTTCACTTTGCTGTGTTTATTTTGTCCGGTACGCCATTTTTCTCGCTCCTACTAGATAGATTTTGCTCAATGATACGTCAAAAGATCATCAAACGCATTTAGTTAAAGCTATTAGTGCAATAATTTTGAAGAATTCTTATACCCTTCCCCGTGTACTAATATATTGCCGCCTACTACATTTTTTTCAATATCTTTTTCTTATCACCAAAAAAATTTTTCCTCTACATCGCTAATCACCAAAATATTTATGAAAAAAAAAAGTTATCAAAAAATTTTCTACGCACGACTAAAAAAAATCAAACATTGCTATGTAAAACTCTAACAACGCCTTGGGGCAATATCTCTCTCTAGCCCCGCCCTCTCTTAAATACATCCCTGGTCCCCGTAATAAAGACAAATGTACCGAAAAATTACAGTTGTCATAAAACATTCATTGTTATATTTTTAGATTTCATTTTATATTAAAATATTTTTTTGTAAACTAAATGATTTTTTGCTAAATTTTTATTCATAACACTTTAAACATTTTCCTTTTTGACAACATGGATTTCTTAAAAATGTAATTATAAAAAAACTTTTCTTTCCGATAATATTTTAAAAATCTTCTTTCTTCAAACCTAATTTTTATCCGAAATATCGATTTCTATGAATTATCGGTCATTGAAACATTAAATCATACAAATGTCGGAAAAAATATCATACTTTATAATAATTTGTATAGAAACAGAATACTTACATCATTCTAAATTGTTTTAAAGTATAGTTTTAATATTAATAAATAAGACGTTCCTATGGTTTTTTGCGTAACGATAGATTATCTACACTATTCAAAGCTAAATAAAATTTAAGGTTTTTTTTATATACTATTCTATTAAAAAAAGGAAGATGTTCCGACGACTTGTCCTCTGCAAATAATTAAATTTTAAAGTCAAAAACCATGTAATTTTTGGTAGAATGTAAATTTTTTTTAATATCTTTCGAAATTACTTTTAGATATCAATCAATATTAGTTTAAAAACTACATCTCTATTTTTTTTTACTTCAATATTATAATATATAGTCAATGATGCAGATAATCGACATTTTATTTTATCATTCATCGTCTAATAATTCATCATTATATTTACAATTTATACAACAAATGTTAAAATGAATCCTAATATTGACTATTAAAAAATAGTTTATTATATTATTTAAATATAGTTTATACTGCAACAGTGCGTATCTCAGATTTTCTAAGTTTTTTGGATGATCAAAAACGACTAAATTATTCATGTTTTAATAAAAGAGGTGATTTTATTTTCATAACTATTAATAAAATAATTAGTCTCTAAAAAAAAAAAAAAACAATGCATAGAAAAACTTTTTTATTGATAAGTTTCATAATTGTCAAATTATACATACAGTTGCAGTATAAGCAACGATATTTAAATAATATAATAAACTATTACTACATTTGTGATACTTATTGTAAAATGAATAAATAAAACTTCTGTGGCATTAAAGTTCAAAATTATGAAAATTGATATCTGAAGTTGAAAATTTGTATTTCTTAAGTGATTTGATCATCTTCAAGACGGTAAACAATGATTTACTTTAATGACCTAAATTCAAAAAATTAAAAACTATTCAACTTTTTGTACAAATTTAGTTGTACATGTAATATTAATTGCTATAAACTTATTAATTTAAAATTGTAAACTTTTTCGTAAGCGGTAAAATTTGATGTTATTTCTCTCGTTTCTTTTCTTTTTAAATCAACTATTTATTGACTTCTACAGAAGGCAATTGAAAGTAACATTTACGACGCGGCAATTTCACTTCCTTAAAACAATTTTTTTTTACATTGTTCTTGTGACATTTCTCAATTGGTCATATGAATGGGTAGTAAGCCTATTCAATATCAATTAAACTTATGCGAAGTAAATTATATTCAAATTTTGCTTATTTTTATTAGGCCCATGATGGTACTTCAACTGGACATTCAAATTCTGCACCTAGTCCTCCACCAACACAGATAAACAAATTAAAACTTGGACCAATTACAATTAAAAGAGAAAAAAGACAGAATTCCTCAAGATTCAATAGTGTTACGTCGAATCGCGAACTACAAGTTCTTCAGTCACTAAATGGTATGTAAATTTTCCTTTGTTTTATCATACCTTTAAATAAAACTAGTGATTATTAATTAGTTGACTAATATCAATTCTTTATCAAAAATCAATTGAAAAAATATAAAAATTATAGTCAATTTCATTAAAATAATGGTCCGTAGTACAAAACAAAATTAAGTTATAAAATACAAGATATTCATGTGAAAGTAATTCGTGTTTTAATTGGTCATATTTTTATACTTCATCTTTGAATTACTATATTTCGAGAGTAAATTTAATCAAAATTTAATTACTCGCAGTAAGGTAATTGATTAACTACCTCATGCAATATCTTTAAATGTATAATACATCTTGTTCTATAATTTAAAAAAAATGGTCCTATTTCCCTCTATTCCCTTTAAAATCAACGAAATTGATTTTATTAACTTGAAACACATACTGGGTGGTTCATTTAACTTAATAAATCTGAACATAAAAATTATTGAGGATTTTTACTGTTTGTTTCTTTTAGATGCATGTTTTTCTTAATTTATCAATAATATATTAGTAGAAGTATTTTTATGTTCATCCCTTATAAGGGTGACGACTTTATTTTTTAAAACATTTACCTGATTAACTAATTTATTTAATAGATATATTTGATTGTATTAAAAAATAAACACCTTGATATATTAAAGTAAAATATTTATTTCAAAATACTGTATGTGTAACATCCCTCTTTTCGGCGACGGAATAATATACCAAAGTATTCATAGTTTTATTTCCCCTGCAGAAGAACGCTATTTTTTTACAAAAAAAATTCCATGTAGTATAAAAATTGCTTAACATACTTAGAAATAGTATTAATTAAACACTGATTATAGTCATATTAATTAAAATTTTTGTACATAAACTAACAATATATTTGGTTTTTGTTACGTTTTAAACGTCACGGGCACAACTCTATTTTATTTTACACATTTTCTAAAATTATATTAACATTAATAAAATATTTGTGTATCTTGGTGTCGTCAAAATGCTAACTTCAGAATTGGCAGTGATATATTTTTTCAATCATCAATGTCTTCTATCAGTAACCCGTACTCTAAAGTTGAAAGTCATATAACTCTCGGTGGATATGATAATCTGTTTTTACTGTGTTTGAGTATGCTTAGACCAAAATAAAATGTTCAGTGGTAATACTTAAGACGAGTATCTTTATTACAACATACATTTTTAAAAATACGATCATTAGCTAAGTACTAAAAGATGTCGACGCTAAAGATATAATTATTAATTAAATAACAAAATTAGGAGCTAAATTGATATTACCCCATCCAAAAAAATATTTTTGCAAAAAACATAAATGATTTTCGTAATGTTTAGTGGGACTATGGTAAAATTTAGGGAGCTTGTCTTTATATCTAAGTCGATTTCTGAGAATTTACAGTATTTTAATATTTCTTCATTAATAGATTACAATAACGTTCATTACCAACATATTTAATTATATAAATCGATCTAAAATTTATAAGATTCCACATTACGTAGTTCTTATAATAGCGTAATAAAAATGGAGTTTTTTATGTGAAGTACAGAAACTATGTTTTACGTAATATAATTCAAAAATATAATTATATTTTTTCATACGTTCATATTCTAAAGCCTTAAATTAACAGAAAAAAATATTAATATCCTTTCTTCTTTCCCCTTAAAATTTGATCTTCTATAGTTTTTTAAATTGAAACATATACAGAGTGATCCATTTAACATTGACCAGCAAATATCTTATCTTATCTAATATGTGTCTTTACGAGCCATCATAACCGCTGCAATTAACTACCTGTATTACAAGTCTACCCGTTTTATACATATATATAGGTAAAAAAAATCAAAACTTTAAAGTGAAATAACATGCAAACTAATGGACTTAAATGAAAAATTCAAATGCTAAAAATTAAAAAAAAAAAAACTCTATCAATATATCTAACTAAAAATATATGTTTCCATTTGAAAAAAAAAAGTTGGTACCCTTTTAAGGCATAAGGGATGAACCTAAAAATTATCTGATCATGGATAAATGTAGAGTTTTATGTAACTTAAATAATTAAAAAAAAAAATTATTAAAATAATAAATAGTTTTTGAGATATTTGCTGGTCAATGTTAAATGGATCACTCTGTATGTTTAACTAGCTTAAAAATAAGAAAATTTCTGGCCGATAACAACTTTTAAATCAGTATATAAAAAAAATATTAGTTTTTAAATAAAAATACATAGAAAATAATGAAAAGACCTGGCTTCACCTCCAGTATTTTGATTAAAGTTTTAACAGTTTTCAAAATACTGGTTCTAAAGTTGTTATAGACCGGTCCTTTTTTAGTTTGATCATTTTCTTATTTTAAGCTAGTTTTATTTTTATGTTTACATTTAAAAAAATACAGTTGATAAAATTTAAAGGTAGAAGGAGAGGCAGGACTATATTTTTTGTGTTCATTTAAATGTGTTGGATACTAATAACTAATAACTTCTGAAAAGAAAAAAATATATTTTATCTTATACTTTTTAAGATAATACGTGAGACTTAGCCGAACACTCTACTTTTATTGTATATGTTATTTTCATCTTAATAATGAAAATTTTTTATTGGTATTTTTCTATATTTTGTATCACAGAATATGTTTCCGATCCGCTCGAGAAACTGAGAATATAATAAAATTGTGAAGGGTAATGAATTTATTGAGTAAACATTTAGTCGTTAAGTACACAATTTTGTGATGTTTACATTTATTCATCTAGCTCATTTTGTTTACTCATATGGTGACTCTAAACTTATCAGTTAGAATGCCAAACGGATGTACTGTGTTTCTATTTATATCTCTGTTGTTATTATTACTTTTGATGTTGTGATTATGTGTACCATACGGTGTTATGGTAATTATCCTGTTCTTCAATGAAAATCTTTAGCCATAAAAACTTATGTGTTGTCGCTGGGCGCACGCGGGTAAGACCAACACTTGTTACGTCGTCCGTGGAGACGGTTGACGCACGTGTTTTAGTCGCTACGATAGCGGCATCTGGTTGGGTTGGTAGCGGCCGTTCTGTCTGCGGTGCGTAGGCGCCGTCTACGGTTTCACAGGGGACGATTGCCGCCGTTTCCTTGGTTACCCTCGTCCCGTACGCTTTGTATCCGCCAGCACATCGATCCGCCGTTGCCGACCGCGAATTCGTAGCGCACACGACGTTCGCGTCGCAGCAGTTTGCAAGACACCGTCGACGGGACTCGTTACTCACGTGTCGTCCCGGTATTTTTGTGCCGTATAACGTCGTTCGTCGCGTATCGTTATAAATTTTTGTCGATTCATTTATTTTTTACTGTGCAATTTTTTATCGGCTTACCAAAAATAATCACTGCCCGACCACATTTTATGCATTTAATTTACAGTATGACCAAAGTAACAACTCCTTTTTAAATTCATAGCCGTCCGCGGAGAGAACCCAAAAAATGTTTGTCGGTTTATTGTTTAAAATACTGTTAAATGACTATTTTCAGATGATTTAAAATTTAATGTGTTCAAACCAGCTAGTAACATTTCGGCGTTGGTGCTGTTGAAAGCAATTAAAATTCGAAGTTATTTTACTAAGAGTTAGGTTTTGTTCAGCATATTTCGAAGGCTAAAGTTCGGTGAAAGCTAAAGGTCGCATGAGGGTGGGGCAACGAGTGATGTGATTAAACTAAAAAGGAAAATTACTGTGAAAACGAGTGAATTTCAGCGTATTTTCGGCGGACACACGTCAAAGGGAAATTTATTGACTTAATATTCTTTTTCCTGGCCGACTATTGTTTTTGTTACCGCCACATGACGTTTACCGCGGGACAATCGGAGCAGCTGGTTTTTTATTATCAACCAAAATCGTTAAGCGTTTTTAAATTCTTTGCATAATTTTACACGCCGAATTTTTCTGCTGCATTTTTATTTTATAATGAATTATTATAATGTTAGTAATAAACAATAATAATAATTATGGCAACTCTTTCTGCGATCGGATATAAAATAGCAATTATATTTTTGTGTGTTCTGAGTGATTGACACACGTTTGCCCTAAAGTAAAACTGAGTTATACTTTTAGTTTTTATTAAATGCTAAGAAATACTTAGATTATTTTTAATATTAACCGATAGTTATTTTTCATTTCATTTTATAACTCGACTTACCTTTTAATAATAATTTAATTATATATAAATTTCACGAAACATTTCAATATTTAGATATGATAAATGAACTTAAAACTAAGACAATTCATTGAATGCTCCTTTTTTGTTTCTTAAAAAATATTTTCTTCAAGTTTTTACAGTTTAAAAATTGTTTTATTGGTAATCAATCAGAACATGAAAATTATATTGTAATTATAGTTGCTTTGACACATTTGTTTTTATTATATTAATTACTTTAATTCAGGAACGCTTAATGATCTTATACAACTTTATGAATTAGGGGTAACTCTGGCAATATCGTGACTGTTGATATAATTTTTTGATGATATGTCGAATACCAAATGAAAAATGTGTCACGGGGCAATATTTTTTCCTCTATCTCGCATGTTCGTGTGATGCCCTTACCACAGACACCGGCGGCAACCAGTAAAGTCTTTTCGCGACGTTCCTGCACATTTTATTTGTGTACGTTGTTGACGAATAACAGTACTTGAATGATCTTAAATGGTTGGCGACACGGTTAAAAGCCCGTGGCGCGGCGGCGATTATGGTAGCGAACAAGCCTGCGGGCGGTCGCACGCTCTCGTTAAACACAACTGTCGTCGGTACCGGTGTTGCGGCGGTTAATCAACATCAGTCGGCCGGCGCACCGTTTTTGCCCAAGAGCCCTAGCTACCATAGTGGTTTAGACTTGTTGGCTGATCGGGACAAGTCTCCTATAATAATGTTCTGTGACCCGACAATACACTTGCCCAGACTTCACGGTGAGTGTAACATTCATAATATGATAAAGCCTAATTGTGTGACTTTTATTAATGATAAAAATAATTGTTATCAATTGATTTTTATTGGCAGAACCTATACATTATTTCAGGGACCAATATAACACTGAAAATATGTTAGTTAAATTTATTAGAATTTTGTAATGTACTAATATAATTTAACTCCGAGTGAACAACAATGAATGCGTTTGAATAACTGTAGAATTTTTAAAACGTTAAAATATTAGTGTTAACAAAAATATGTTTTATTTGTTCTGTAGCCTTATATTGTTTTGTACATTTTGGTGTTGGTAGCGCTGTTCTATCTTTATAACTATAGTGTTATTTAAAAATAAAATAAAAAAAGAAGAGTAGAATCACATAAAGAATTTTTTTTTCATTCTGGTTTCCTAAACAATAGTGCAATTACAGGAGCTTAGCCCCTATTTCAAAAATGCCCACTCCCCAAAAAAATTATATTTATTGTTATATAAATATATTATTTAGAGTAGGAGAAAATTAAATTTAACTCCGCATCTTTCTAGTACCATTAATAAGTAATTGGATTTTTTTACTTAAACCCACTTACGCAGTATATACAATTTTTATTATAATTTGTTAACATATCAAAAAGGTATCTTATTAATGTTCTGTATTAAATTATCTGTAGTATTTTAAAGTATGTGAAATTTGAATTTTTTTGTGTTCTTAATATTTCAAACATAAAAAAATGATTTGAGAAAAGGATGAAATCTTTTTATACAAAATATAGGTTATAGGTATGTAATTTTTTCATGAAAATTATCTATCCTTGAAATGAGCGTCTGTAATTGAACTTAAAAATTTGATAGACAAAATATAGCAGATCTCTTTGGTATTTATTTATCATGAGCCAAATCTCGGTATTTGTTTATTCCAAATTATAATATGTTTGATATGATAATCGTCGTTGGTTTTCTAGTATTATATTGTAATTGACAAATTTTTAATTAATATAAATAATTAAAACCCCAACTTGTAACCTAGCGATCATTTAAAATTAGCTTATTATTTTTGTACTTAATATTATAACTTATTAGAATAAAATATATTTTCGATTTGTCTGCTATACATAGCATTGCTCTTAGATAATTTAGTTATATAATTACATATATAATTATATAAAGTACACATTATAATTTTTAACTACGCTCTGTATATTGTGTGTTGTTAAATTTTAATTTTGAACGACAGCTGGCAACCTGCTCTATTATAATTTCAATGACTTTATTTGACTGTTATTATTTTGATATTTTTATCATACTCTGGTCAAAAATTGCGAAAAATGTGTAACTAAAATGAGCTCGTGAAAACGATTTTCTACATAGACACCCCACGATATTGTCTTTTTTTTATGTATACTCAATGTATGTTTTTAAAATGAATGAATAATTATGTATTATTACAACGTTAACATGAATTTTAGACGGCTTTTGTACAATTAAAGTAGTATTTTGAAGCAAAAATCGTTAGTTATAATTTTATAGGAAAAATTAAATAAAGTCTCTTATATATGTTCAATATTGTCAAAATGTTATCTTGCTATGACAGTTGAAAAAATTTCAATTGATTTTCGCTCGAGTATTGAATATTTTTATAGGTAGTTAGACTAGTCAATGTCATTCGAAGCTTTACGTTCTAGAAATAAACAAGCTGTCATATATAATATTATTTTCATCAAACATTTTCGTTGTAATATCTCCAAAATATTTGTAATCCTGTATCGTAAAAAATAAAACTGGACTTTTTTGTTAAGTGAATATATTATTAGCATCCCTTATCAATTTTATATATAAAAATTAACATCCAACAACTTAATCTATCTAATCTTATACCTAGTTATCATAGGTATTTGTTTTGTTTTAATGAATAGTCTATATGTTTGCATTTATGTATACATTTATATGGTTGATTTTCAGTTGTAAATATAATAAAGGGAATAAATTTCTGTAAGTAAATTAAGAATATTTATTAATGAAATTTATAGTCATAAAAAGTGTAATACATAAAATACTTTAGTCGGTATAGTACATGAGACTATTTAGATTTCTTCGTTTTTTATTTAATGCAAGAAAAGTGAAAATTAAAATATTCTTTATTTTCTTGACTATCTGTTGACCTATTGATTACCGTTATCATTTAAAAGTAGATATAGTCTTATTAACTCAGTTACGAGACAATTTTTTATTTCGTTTAAATTACTCTTATATTAAAAAATATCACTAATAATAAAATTTCAAAAAGGACAGCGAATTTGGGTTCAATTTACATTTATTCCTGTCGTAAATTCTAAGTATAAAAAACTTACTTAATCTCGTCTAGACTAATCTTACATAATGTGTCGCACACAAGTAACAAAAAATGATTTAATGTTAACATTTGTTTTATATTTTAAATATGTTTTATATTTTTAAGTTCGAACAATTTTCCTATCCAATGTATTGGATCAAAAATATTTTGTTGTAACAATTCATATATTTGTTTGTTTGTATTGCATTTATGGTTTTTTGTATTATTTCATGGTATTATATTAAAAAAACAATAAATTTTTATTAATAATAACATTATCTCGTTATGCTCGTTTAGTTTTTTTTAAACAGACTGTAACAAGCGTTCCTAATTTTCAATGAAGAATTCATTGGTTTATGTGATATTTAAGCCATTTAGTGCTGAGCTAAAAACAATATTCTAAATAAATATCCTCTTTTTTAGGAATGAATAATGATCGTCGATAATCTAACAAATGAATTTAAATTGAAATCCTTTTTTTAGTTGTCATATGTAATGTCTTGTAATTTTGGCCATTAGGATTGATAAATGTCCATTCAAAGAATTTAAGTCTAACTATTGAGTATTTAAGTGATTTTAGTCATTTTTTTTTTTTGTTCTTATCATTCCATTTTATTGGTTTATTATAGCAGTTCAAAATACGAATACTTAAAACACAAACCTTAAATTGACGAAACATTAGTTTCGCAATATCAAAGATTATGCTCGACTTAGTTAATTACTTGCAGCTTCTGGTTATTTAAAAAAACGACTTTGGATAATCCAGAAATAGTTTCTGAAAATGTAAACAGTAAATTTTCGGGAGGCCAATAATTATATGCTAGTTCTCTGGGAGTTTCATGACTATGAGTACCCACTTTATTACTAATCACTGATTTTGGCAGCGGTTAAAAGTATAGTCGTGTTAAATAAATCTGTTAAAATGTACTTGTTAAAAAAATTACAAAAATAGTAGATTAGTAGTTGATATAAAGTGTTTAGGACAATAAAATACATTTTTTTATATTTTGTTGATTGTCTGTAGTTTGTATACTTTCGGTTTTTTTTTGTGTTTTGTTAATAGTTTGATAAAATACCAACTATTCCTGTCGTATAAAAGTATGTTATTTAATTTCATGTCAATCTGTCGCTATTTATAATGAATACCGTGCAAACGTTTTTAAGTTATACGCACTTCAACGATACAAATACTCATTGAATAAAAAGTAACATAATAAAAACAGATTAAAAAACTTTTGTAGTTGTTTGCAGAACACTCTATCTTAGAGCTTACTGCTTGTTTGGTATTATTGTGTTGTAATCTTGTCGAAATGACATTGACCATGACCCAACCAATAAATTTAATAACTAGCCATTTTGGAAATATTGTTTATAATATTATATTAATTTAGAACTAGCATTATGTGTTAACTAAAGTGTGAAGTTTGCAATTAGCATATAAAAAAGGTAAAAATTACTTGTGAAGGATAATTTTTTTCTTTCATGTTGATTGTAGTATTTTTCAAAACGTGGAATCTCTAGGGACGTACTCTTTACATTATATTATGCCGTTCTATAAAACTTTTACTGTTCTTATGATAATGTTTTTTACTTCGAGAAAATTATCTTGTCAGAAAAATCGGTAGATTTTATTATTATTATTTTAAACGATATTTAAGTATTTTTACATTGAAACCATTCTATTCTCAATAATTGAATAATATTGAATCGATCTGCGAACACTATTGACTGTTCTGTAGTAACTAGTTTTGTTGTATATATAGAGCATATGCAAATAATAATTGTTTTTGTCTTAATAGATTTATGATCCAAAATATTAAATGTATAATTTTTTAATCATATCATAGGTAAAAAAAAATTAGAAATTATTTTTATACTTAATAAATAAACTTTTCATTGACACAATTTGTAATAAATATACAATAAATTTTCTTTTGTATTTAAATAAAAGTAAATTTCTCTTTTATTGCATGTTTGTTCATTTTTAGTTTAATTGTATTGAATATTTGGTTTTTCTATGTATATAATTGTTAATCATTTAATCACTGTATATTGCTGGGCTTCTTTAATTGAGTTTCTTATGAACGTCATTTTTAGGCTTATTTCAACTTTAAAGATATCGATTTATATAAAATAAAAACAAATAAGTATTAAATTTAAATAACTTGTTATGTTATTTTTAGAAATAATATCCATATTGTATAATGAATTTAATTTTCGCTTTCTATGAAGACAAATCGTAATTATAATCATTTATGCTATGGACTTTATAATGTTAAGTAAACTTATGTGTCATCTATAAATAATATAGAATTTAGTTAGCTGGGGTATATTTATTCTAATGAAATGAATTGGACAAACATAAGTGGCAGGTTTGTTGAAAGTTTAAAATAATTTTTATTTAGTAATAGATAGCTCTTCATTATCCTTATCTTCTGGTATATTTACACATAAAAAGAATTTCTATAGTTGCTCTTGTGAACTCTAATTAATGTTTTTGTATCACCTATTTAAACGTTTTACAGTTTTCAATGAAACAGTTTAAATAATTGTAAGTACATAATGTAAAAATTGTAGCCTACTAAAACATTTGAAATCAAAAGATTTATTATAAAATTGTTTTCAATCTGTGTTATTTCATGTTTCTTTTTCTTGATTGTTCAATTCGTTTTTTTAATGGGTATTCAAATCTTTCCATCTCACCATGTGTTTATTTGAAGCTAATATTAAATGTTACTATTTCTATTTTTTTTGACACGAAATTCAGTACTTTTTTTATGTAAAATATCTTTTACGGTGGGTCAAACTGGCTGTTGGAGTGGCGGCTATCTTTCCACTCAGATCGGATTTCTCCCCTTTCTTTCTCGCCCCGCTGAACTCGTATACCAATACTTATGCATGGATGACCATTAGGGATTAGGACATGAGGACATGTCACCTCACCGATAAATATGTAATTTAAAAAAAAAAAACGGTTCTATTAACTTATCATACGCTTATAGATAGAGGAGGTGTCTATTGGGGTGGAGACATACCCCTTTGAAAATATGCGATCCTCAAGATAGGGTTCTTTAAGCGTATTATTTATATGTTTAATGGGTACAAGAGAAGAGGGCACGTGTTTCCCCTGTAAAGTATGTGATCCGCTATTTTTTTTGTCGCTCAACTCGTATAGCTATAGCGTATGTCCTATAGGGGGACTTGATGGGACGTGCTCCCTTTAAAAAGTCTACCTTTAGGAATAATTTTTTTAAATTAAATTTATTAATTCGTCATCAGCGACGTTGAAATCAAGTGATTAAAGTCAAAAATAGTTAATTATATTTGTATACAATATGCGAACTAATGTAACTGTACACTAGTGCGTGTGTTTTGTCAAGAATACTGTTTCCTAAAAATCATGGATTTTTAGAAATATTTTCAAATGGTTATGAGTCTGTCTATATTTTTGGTGGGGGGGTTGACCTATTGTACAAACGAATTTTAGTAAAATTGATAATAACTAAACTTCATATAAAAATTCAAGTATAATTTCTAAATTTTAAAATCATATGAAATTCTTAAAAAAAAAAAAAAAATGCAAAAGACAACTAGCCCATGTTATTTGAATATGTGACCCCAAGTTTGAATTTTATAAATCGTAGGATGACATCGTCAAAAATTGCCAAACAAGTGTGATTTTTTATAATGAATGTAGATTAAATTCATTTAACATTAGTGGAAATCATCGATCAATACAGTAATACCGTTAAAGGAAACATCGAACATTATTGTTACAGAAGTAACTGATTAATAGAACTCACCCTTTTCGTTTTTAGGAATATTTATTTTTCTTTTATAATTCATCGTTTCGTGCATGTTTTATATACAAAATAGTTTCGATGATCTGCTAGGCGTCCCGTGACCGTTCTCATTTTTTAAAATGTTTTTTATATTTTAAGAAAATTATATACTAATATTTAATTAAAATCTTTTAACGTAGCATTAAACTTGACATTAAAATATTGTGCTGTGCGCTAGATAAACGTATATTTAGGCTTAGATCTTAATTCCATAGTGCTGAAAATAAAACTCATAGTTCTTCTATTTTTAATACATCCTAATATTTTGCCAAAGGCAAAATAAAAATAGACTTAATATTCTTATTGTCATACATTGGACTTCCAATAGTAAATTAGAACCTAACAGATTTAGTTATTATTTGAACAGCATGTATTTTTGTGTCAATATGACATAAGGTCATTCGTTGTATTGTGTCGAACGTATCTACGCATACGTTGCAATATTTAAAAATTAAAACTAAAGTTTTGTTAAACTAAACGACTCATTGTTAAAGTTTTATTTTTAGAGTCTAACCTGCTAGTATTTAGTTTATTTTAAGATTTTTATAACTTTTTTTTGTATAATTATGTCTATTTAGTTAAGATAAATAAATTTCCAGATCAAAAGAATTTGATTTTATTTAATTCTTAAATGTAATAGTATAAATAATAAATAATCATTAGTATACAATACTAATATTTTTATTTTACTTACGTTCTATAGTTTAACTGTTGTCAATGGTGTTTTTTAAAGAAGTGTAAGTTAAAATAGTAATATAATAATTATTAACATTATTAAATATTATATTATTTTTATTTTTCGTCGTTACTTTTAAGTATTAGGCAATAATAATGAATTAATCGAGATATTTTATTTGTAAACAAATATTGTATGTGATATGTATATGAAATGAGAAATATGTTTTAATTTTATTATGTTGTATTAATAAATCTAGGTAATTATTTCTAAAAAAATCTTAATTATTCATAGTTTAATGCACGAGTACATATGTGAAATTTTCATTGTTCAGTATTTTTAAAAACATTTGTTACAAATTGGGTATTGGTTTGAAACAAACATTATTGTGATTTATTACAAATTTTTTCATTATTTCTTCTATAAAATATATAATTAAATACAAATTTGATGAACTTAATTTTATATTTATCGCTTAAGTAGGTAGTGATAATTCCTACTTACGATGTATTCCGGAGTCGAGATTATAAAATAAATATTGATATTAATGATATGCTAATTTTATTGTATATTAAAAGACTTCGATCGATGAACCAAAACCAAAAAAAAAAAAATTTGGATTTAAGTATTACAAAATATATATACATTTGGAAATTGTAGGTTTATTTTACCAAATATACACATTTATTTTTAGTATATCATTTCTTTTTACATTTGGATAGTATCGAACATTGATATTTGTGTAATAAGAGAATACATTTTCACCTATCTTATATACTATATAAAAATATACTTGAAAAATTTTAAATCATTAAGATTTATTAGGAAATAAAAATATATATGAGGTGTGGCGTGGTAAAATGAAATGGTTTTTATTAATTTCCCAAATAAAAAAACTTTTTAGTACTTTAATCACTTAATCCTGCCACACATCATATATTCATATTCTGCTCCTAAATATTCCACATATTTATATATAAGGTTATCGGTTTATCTTAAACTACTCTATTACTCACAAATTAATATAATATTAGAAGACAATTATTGGTTTTTTAGTTACATATATTTCTAGATTTATCAACTATTAATTACACTTTAGAATCATTTCTTATAACTTATAAAGATGTCAACTTTATTTGTTCAAATGACAACATTCATAATTAAGTATATTATTTAATAGATCATATCTATTTAAGAAGATGACAGGTCGATCACCAAGATTATTAGATAAATTATTTTTTTAATTATAATTTGTTTATCTAATGACCTTGATCGATAACAACTTTTGGATCATTATTTTATTATTTATAATGGTTACAGTAGGTGAGACACGGGTGTTGTTATTTTTGTCACTAATCATTTCCTGATCGTACTCGTCCTCTCGCCTAGGTATAAAAATGATAATAACATCCGAAGTACTAGTCTAAAAGTTGCAGGATTGCCATTTATCTGGAAAACAGGGAAAGTCGAGGACATTTTTTTTATTCGGTTAATTTAAAATGTCGGGGAATTTAATTAGAATATATGGAATTAGGATAAAAATTTGTACAATGTAGTGAAGAGTTAGACGACCGTGATGGCAGTGGTAAATTTCTAACAAAATTTAATTACTGTTATAATAATTTTTCCATATTGATTGATGGATTTTAATTTATTTATTATAATTTAATGGCATAAAACAAATGAAATTGAATAATTTTTGTAATAATACATCATTATTTCCATGAGTACACTTATTAATTAATTTTTCTTTTTTTAATATTGTGTTTATGTTGCGGGTAATCGAGAAGTTCATAATAAACTAATCACTCTATATATATTTTTATAAATACAGATTGGTTCATGACATTTTGACAAAAATAATAACTTAGGTTTCAGTAAATATGCTGAGGTACATTTTTTAAAAATAATTGATGCATTCTTAAATTACTTTCAATTCATATTTTTTATTATTGAAAATAAATTTTAAAATAAAATTACTTATAATAATAATATATATAATAAATAAATTATTTATAAAAAAAATTGTTTTTTTTTCAAAATTTTAAAATTATATTCATTAGTTTTCTTACAAAAAGAATTTGATGGGTAGATAACAATTTTAGGACCAGTACTTATTGAGTTACTCGCATTTTAATACATAGAATATGTATGGAAAGCGGGCAAAGTATACATACTCCACTATGAGCTTACCCACCCTCACTACATAGCGTTATAGCGTTGTTGATATGTATATATATATAAATTTCATCAAAACATTTACTAATATAGTTATATGTATATTTATTTAATTACAGAGGCTAATGTGTCTGAACGGGAACAGTTGCTCATTCAAAAAATGCAACAGTGTTGTGTACTGTTTGACTTTATTTCAGATCCACAGTCTGATTTGAAATGGAAAGAAATAAAACGAGAGACCCTTCATGAAATGGTTGATTATTTGTCATCAAATCATGGAAATGTGCTTACTGAAGCAATTTATCCTGAAGCTGTTAGAATGGTAAATATATATATATATTTATCTACTTAGTATATTTTGTTATTTTTTTTTTTAACAATTTTTGTAGTTTTGGACCACGTTAAAAGCTTACTTTTGTTTTTTGAAATTAAAAACACACTAGCCTTTTCCTTACAAAAAGTATTGATGAGTCAATAACAACATTAGGATAAGAATTTATTAAGTTATGTGAGAGGAATATGCATTATAAATATACACTTGTATGAGCTGCACCAAACTGAGCTACATGTCCACTCTATGTATAAAAATACTTTTAACTTAACAAGTTCAAAATTTATATAAATAATGTGTAATTTTCTTATAATAAATTTTATTATAAGGAAATATTGTCTACTTTAGAATTTCAAAAAGTTAAAAATAAAACAATTTATTATAACTTTTTATTTTTTATTAGATATAATTAATAAAGAAATATGCTTTTAACATAATTATTAGTCCAAAACTATAAAAATTATTAAAAGAGAGTAACAAAATATATTCAGTAGATCAAAAGTTATGCAATTTATCAGAACAGATTGGAACACCTATATAATTAGTTTTAATATTTTCTTTGTTTTAATATTATAAATTTTTTATTAGTTTGCAGTAAATTTGTTTCGTAGTCTGCCACCTTCAAGCAACCCTAATGGTGCAGAATTTGATCCAGAAGAAGATGAACCTCTTTTAGAAGCAGCTTGGCCTCATCTCCAATTAGTATATGAGTTTTTCTTAAGATTTTTAGAGTCTCCAGATTTCCAGCCATCAATAGCTAAAAGCTATATTGATCAGAAATTTGTACTTCAAGTAATATATTTAAAAATTGAAATTAAATTTGTATAAATAAAATATATGAAAAGTCTTAAATCATAAATATATTTTTTATTTTTGTGTGTAGTTGTTAGAGCTTTTTGACTCTGAAGATCCTAGAGAAAGAGACTTTTTAAAAACCATCCTGCATCGAATTTATGGTAAATTTTTAAGTTTACGAGCATACATACGGAAACAGATAAACAATATATTCTATAGGTAAATATTAATACTATTTTTTAGCTAATTTCTATTTTAATTTATTTAAAATTTTTTTTACATATTAATAGTTTTATTTATGAAACTGAACACCATAATGGCATTGCAGAGTTATTAGAAATTTTAGGAAGGTAATTTCACTTTTAAAAATTTAAACCTGAATATACAAATTTTTAATGTGCATTATAAATGTTTTTTCAGTATTGTTAATGGATTTGCATTACCGTTAAAAGAAGAACATAAAGTATTTTTGTTAAAAGTTTTGCTGCCATTACATAAAGTAAAATCACTTTCAGTATATCATCCTCAACTTGCTTATTGTATTGTGCAGTTCCTTGAAAAAGATCCTTCACTCACAGAACCAGTGATTAGAAGTTTACTAAAGTTTTGGCCAAAAACACATTCCCCGAAAGAGGTATGATTTAAAATAAAATATTTATTATGTATAAAATATTTTTACGGATAATTTTTTATATTTAGGTTATGTTTCTCAATGAATTAGAAGAAATTTTAGATATAATTGAGCCATTGGAATTCCGTAAAGTGCTCAAGCCTTTAATTCATCAACTAGCTAGATGTGTTTCTAGTCAACATTTTCAAGTAAGTATAATATTATAGCACTGTAAAATATCACCATGTCAGGACTATAAGATAATAAATTGAAATTTATGGATTTTGACATTTTGGTGGTTCGATTAAATTCTAATTAATATTATTTACAAAATGATACCAAATCTGAAAATAAATGAAAGATCTTGTTACAAATTCTTAAAAAAAAACATGCAATTTAATGACTGTTTTTCATTATTTTAATTTTATATTTTCACTTAAAGGATTATTTATTTCATTTTTATTAATATTATGTAAAAAGATCATTTAATTAGCTATTAAAGTATAAATATATATTAACAAAAAAAACTTATGTTGTATTTTTATTTAGGTGGCAGAAAGAGCACTTTATTTTTGGAACAATGAGTATATTATGTCTCTAATGTCTGAAAATGTTGATGAAATTTTGCCAATTATGTTTCCTGTATTGTACAAAAATTCTAAAACTCATTGGAACAAGTAAGCCATTATGAATATAATTCACTCTAATTAAATTATACAATTAGGCTTCACCCCAGATTGGGAGGCCCAGATTGGGATCCTCTTGCTGGTACATTGATTCTTTGAAGTATTTGGCTATGTTGGGTATTGATAAGTATTTCGTGAGCAAAGTCATTAATTACTGAAGTATAATGTATTATAAAATTATATTACTATTAAATTTATAATATAGATACTGACAGATAAGAATTACAGTTGGTATTCAATATTATTAAAACAGTAATAATATATCTTGATGAAATAAATCTTAGTAATTAAGTGTATATACTGTATAAATATCTTTCTTTGTATAAATGATTTGTCATAAGTAATAATTGCTTGAATATCTCCCAAGAAAAATAATGTTTATAAAGATAACATTACATTAAAATAGTAACAAAAATAATTATGTATAAAACTGAAATCTAATAAATGATGAACATTTTATAAAATTCTGACAAATTAAATAAACGCCAACCCAACCTGTAAAAACATGTATATTGATTTTAAAAAGAACCTCACTGTATGGTCAATAATTAACGAATTGGATTTTTTTTTATTATATGTCATTATTATCTTTGAGTGAATCTAGTAAATAATTCAGACCTGAAATCGTAATAAGCTGGTATCAGTGAAGGTTTTTTTAAGTGATTAAAAGTTTAAAAGTTTACTATGGAGTTACAAAATTTTTCTAATTTTCATCAATAATTTTCCTAAAGTTACATGATAGAGTACTTTTAACACTAAGTAATTTTCCCAATACAATGTTTTTTTTTTTTGGTCTGCTATATAATAAAGTTTAACTGTAATAAATGCAATTTTTTTTATAGTATACATAAAATAGTGCTAGAAATTTGTTTAAAATCTAGTTATATTTATATTGTTGTAAGGAAAATTAATTGTATACTATTATATATTTTATGTATTCAATTTTTAGAAACATACATGGTCTAATGTATAATGCACTGAAAATATTCACTGAAACAAATCCTGTACTTTTTCACACTTGTACACAACAGTTTAAGGAAGACAGGAAAACGTAAGTTACCAATAACTTAAGAATTTGTCTTTATTCAACATTGTTATTCATTAAATATTTTTGTTCTAGGGAAATGGAAAAATTGAAAAAAAGAGATGAAAAGTGGCATAGAGTTGAAGAACTAGCAAAAAGAAATCCAAATTTTACAGGTTCTATTGACAGTAATTATTCCTATTATGGTGATTTGACTAGGTCTCCTGTAAATGATTTGGATCCAACTATTGATTTAAAAAGTTTAGAAGAAGATACTAAATATCATATTGATTCAGATGTAAGTATTAAATAAATACTTTGAATATTCAACTTGAAATTATTAATATTTGTTAATTATTTTCAGAACCGAAAAAATCGAAAAGAAAAGCCACTGTTAAGACGTAAATCAGAACTACCACATGATACATACACGGTCAGAGCATTGAATGACCATAAGAGAGCTGATGAATATCTCTCTACTCCCCCTGATGTTAATAAGTGCTAGCTACACATTTAAATTGTGATGACCATAATATATATATTGAGCCATACAGTTTAAGGTAAAGTAACACAATTTGTGTACAAAATCTTGTTATAAAATTAACTCAAAATTTGCTTTAAAATTTTTAAAATGTTGAAATAATCACTTATATTTATTTCATATTTTTATAGGAATTAGAAATATTAAATGGTTACTCAACTCATTAGAGGTCATAATATATAAATGTTAAGTTTATCATTGTTAGGATTTACTTGTTATTAGTAGTACCAGCTACCATGTTGTCCTTTCTACACTTGAATTAAAAATGAAGAAAGCTTAGCAAAGTCAATGCACTAAAATGCCTACTTTGGTTGTGTTATTTATTTTTGAAACATTAATAAATATTAAATGTGTCATTATGTTTTTATTTATTTTAACACAATATTTTATTAAATAATTTTAATTATCACTCTCTTTGTGTAATAAGTTTTAAATTTTGTACGACACATTTCAGTTTAAGTGAGATTGAACCATTAATTCAGAGAGTATTTTTATTTTATTATCTTGTTGGTTTTTCATTTATATTATTTTTTTAATCAGATTCAATAGAATATATTTTGTATATAATTGTAATGAATGATGAAAAAAACACTCTGTGGCTACATTTTTTATTATTAATAGCTTTAGATAAATATGAAATGTTTTAGTTAGTATATTAACTATATGTACCAACTTAAATCAAACTTAATTGATCACAACTGGAATTTTTCAAATGGGGCAAATTATGTTATTTAACTATCAAGTATTTTAAGTATGAAGTACCAAATACTAATTTATATTTAGTTGTATTTGGATTAAAAAATATAAATAAATATATGTATATTTTATATATTTATTTATTCAAATAAAATATAATGATGAGTTCACGTTTTAAAAGTACTATGTTAATTGTTTATTATTATTAATTATTTATTTGTACCACAATGTGTTATAACTTGTAAAACCGTTAAATGAGTAAGCCCATCGACAGGGATAAATTATTGTTTAACAACCTATAAAAATGTTATATTTATGTTGTACAGTTGAATATAGATATTTATGTAAAACACAATTATATTTATCAAAGAATTATAAATATAATTATTAAAATGATACATTTACATAATACATGTTCATTATCTAAGGTGATTTTAGCCTAATTATTATTATTTTGACTTCTAAAATGAGCATTTGTGTCAAACAAATAAAATATATGAAAAATATTTGTTAAGCTTACAATGAATATATATATATATATATATAAAAAAAAGATAAATTATTCATTATTCTGTTTTAATTTTATTATTTGACCACTTAACTAGTTAACAAATTTTTGATAAATCTTTAATCGATGAGACACAATTTTATAAAGTATAAGATAATAAAAATTTGATAGCACCGATTGTTTAAAATGGATTTTTATGGGTTATATTCATACTCTTTGAAAGTGAGTACAAATTGAGTATTAAAATGATAAATTTTATACAAATTAAATCATACAAACTTATTACATTTATTTTTGAACTTTGAGTAATATTAAAAGTTTATGGTGCTTTAAGTTAACTATTACAAATTTGAGAATTATTCATTCAATACTTTTTTTTGACATAAATGTTATGCCAACAAAAAAAAATAAGTAATTATTTATTGTTTTTTGAAAACAGATTAAATTTTAAGGAAAATCAAATATTTATTTAAAAAAATATTTTATTTGTAAAATTTATTTTTAATTTAATTTTACTTTACAAATAAACAAATTTTTTAAATTGAAAATTCAATAAACGCTGTTAATCAAATATATTTTAATATATATATCAAAATATTTTGATCGGTTAGTAACCATTTCATAAATAAGGGACTGAATTAATTCATTTCGTCAACCCGTTTTTAACTACATACGAACTACAAGAAGACCCATCCTCAGCCAGAAATAATATGATCTGGAAATGCAGTTGGCATTACTCACAATCAACGCCAAGTACTGTGAGACGTATTAAATATATTTATGGGTATTTCCTGTTTTTTTTTATATAAGGTAAATGAAGATTTGGACAAATTATCTTTCTCTGTAGATGTTTGAAAGATGTCAAGCTTTGCAGAGTTGAAATGGCAGAGTGAATATCAAATCACAAAATGCAAGCGAAAGACATTTTGCAATACACTTTCGAGTAGTCTATCATCAATGTCTAGATGACGAACTGAGGTTAATGAAGATAATAATAACGCCGATTTTTCAACAGACTTAATGGTTTTCAGTATTTTCCTTAGAAATTCATATCAGTTCGTCGAAGACTTTAAACGATTTATGTTAAAGGGGTCGTATTTATGGTTTAATTATTTTAACGTTAGACACTCGATTTCTCTTTAACTAATTAGATTAGTTTATTAGTTATGGATTTTGATAGTTACATAAATGTCTTCATTTTTCTATTATAAAATAATTTTTAGATATATAGGGGTGTCAAATTAATTATTTAAATAGCAACATATGTATTAAAGTAGCTTATAAAATATCTAATTAAGAAAATAATTGGTCGATTATAACTATTAGACCAATACTTACCAAGTTATTCACATTTTTATATTTAGGCGAAAGAAAGAGTGCGACTGACATTTCTAATATTTGAAATAGTCATACCGACGCTTTACCTAAGATCTATATTGAATGTCAATAGTACATTTCTAAAAAGTTGTGTTTTGTGCAAAATATAGAATTACAATGCCATCACACACACAACAAATGGCAAAAAAAAATTTGAATGTTCATAATTTGTATACAAGTCCTACAAGAATTTCGATTCTGATTCCAAATCTAACTTCAATTATTTGTATTTGTATTTTAGTTTTTGAAAAGATAAATTATTAGTAATTAAACAATAATTACACAGTAAAATCGTTAAAAAGTTTTCATTTTTATAACTCTCCTGAAATAATTTCATGATTTTTAATTAGAGTTGTGCAAAATTTGAAAATGTTCTATCAAGTTAAACTAATTTTTTGGATATTTAAAATTAAGTGTTATTTTTAAAAAAAATAAACTGAACATTTGAATATAACTTTTTTTGTTTAACTTACAGTTATGAACCTATAACTAACAAATAGATAATTTTATAAGGATACAAAAAATATCAATTTTTTACATTTTAAGTTAATATAAAGCGAAAAAAATGGTAAAATATTGAAAATTCTCAATGAATACTTTTTTTATGTACTTAAAAGTATTGTTTTATTTTGTAGTAATTCAATAATGTTATAATAACTATATTTTTTTTAACGATAAATACGATGGTGTATTTGTATTTTACGTATGACAATTATATAAAACAAAAAAAGCTATATAAACGATTTGATGAATACGTTTTGATATTTGATTTTCGATATTTTCTTGTATTTTTTGTATTAATAGCAAAAGCAACAATTTAACATTTTATAAATCTTTATAATATTATCAATTTTTTGTTTAGTTTATTAATTGTAAGTTAAACCAAAAAAAAGTTATATTTGAAAGTTCAGCTTATTTTTTTTTAAATAACATTCATACTTAATTTTATATACCCAAAAAACCGGTTGAACTCATGATATTTTTTGATGAGAAGTAATTCAATTTATTTCATTTTTAGAATAACAGATTTTTGTTTAAACAAAATTAATTAATTAATTTGAAATTAATCAAAGGCTAGAGGCGAGGAAGTGATTGGAGAGGTGGAAAGTTTTAAGTATTTAGGGTCAGTCGTGCAAATGAGGGGTGGGTGGTATTGATGAGGATGTAAGACACAGTATTAAGTGCGCGTGTGTGAAGTGGAGAGAAGCGTCTTATGTGAAAAAAGAATTCCAATGTGGCTTAACGGTAAATTCTACAAGACTGTAGTGAAGCCAGCTATGATATATAGTTCAGAGTGTTAGGCGGTTGATGAGAAAGTAGAGTAGAGAATGAGGGTAGCAGAGATGAGAATGCTTAGATGGATGAATGTAGTGACTAGAGAAGATAAGATAAGGAACGAGTATATAAGAGAAAGTATAGGTGTAGCGTCAATCGTGGATAAAATGAGAGAAAATAGATTTAGATGGTTTGGTCATGTTATGAGGAGAGAAGAATCGGAAGCTGTGAGAACAGTTGTAGAAATGAATGTTGAAAGAAGAAGAGGTAGAGGAAGACCAAAAAAGAGAAGGAGGGATGCTATTGAATGTGATATGAAGACAGCTGATGTGAGCGTAGATGATTTGGGAGATCGTGTCAAGTGGAAGTTTAGAATAAGGGTGGCCGACCCCAAGTAGTTGGGATTAAGGGGAGGAGGAGGAAGAAGAAAATATTTTCATATTGAATTTTACATTACTTAAATAAATTAGGAAAATATTTATTTTTATTTCTAAGTTTAAGTCAACATACAGGTAAGTTTGAAGGGGATTTGATTTTAATTTAATACTTTTTAATAGTAAGTTTATAAGAATTGCTAAAAATTTTAGCAATTAAATTTACATTATTTTATAAAATTCAAAATTGTCATTGTAGTTAAGTAATAACATGATCAATAAAACTTTAATAATTCATAAATTATTTGATCTTAAACAAATTTTTATTTGTAAAAGTATATATGTTTAAATAATAATATAAAGTAAAAAATAAATTAATTAAAAACTTCTTAGATTTTTAAGAAATTTCAACATTACTAAGAATAAAATATTAAAATACTAACAAATGAAACAACATTATTGCTAATAACTCTACCAAACAACGTTTTTATTAGTGTTTTAAGTTCTGGTGTCATTTCTTCAAGTTTGGATACGAGATTAATAATAAGAAGATATTTTTGTTTAAACAGAATTTTCAGTTTTTTCTTTATTTATTCTGTTTATTATCATTTTTTGTGACAAAAATAATTTTATATATTTATTTATATTACTAAAAATTTAAAACAATATTCTATCAGTATTATTTGTTGTTTTGAGTACGTACAAATATATGTACGTATATAATATATATATATATATATAATTATATATATACAAATATTTATAATCTTGATGTAATAATAGTATATCTATAATTGGTTTTTACAATATAACGATATTAAATAAATATTAATCCTTTACAAAATATTACACAAAAAAATAACCAACCACAAAGTAGTTTAACGCATCCCATCGTCAAATTTATTTTTCAATGAAATAATTTCTTCGGTACTTTTGAGAATTAGAATAATATTCATTATAATAATCTGCCTTATTGTGTTACGGTTTCAAAATCGATTAATTACCATAAAGTGAGAGGGATTTTCGGGCGTCCTCTAAACAATCGTTACTTGTTTCGTCGATCTGCAACGTACAATATTTTGCCTATACAGTACGCCGTCTTCGTGTCTGTTTAAATTAAACTTAGTATTCCGGTCACAACAATGTTGTCAAACATCACCATCACGTCATAAAATATTCGTTTATCACAAAGTTAGTCTAAGTATACTGAAACAAATTGTAAACGTCGTGTATATAATATATAGTCGAGTGTTCGATATCTTACGCTTCAATACGATCGTTAAATGCAGGCAATAAGAATAAAAGATATTGTATTCTCGTACATACCATTTATTCAAATTATTATTCTATTATACCTCTTTTTGCAGATAACAAAAGATTATAGAAAAATAATGGCATTTATGTATGAATTCAGTTAACGTCTATTCCAAAGATAATATTATAAATCATATGCTTTCAGTTTAATTATCCGCACTTAAATAATGTTCACCAACCAGATATTAGTCGATTATTTACTTTTACAAGGTGAATTATTAAAAAATACGAGGCTTGTCCCAAAAGTAATGATTATAAAAATCGAAAAAGAACTTTATATACCACTGAGTAAAATCTATGTAAATATTAACTTATAAATAAGATTTTGAGAAAACATTGTAATCTTCTTTTTTGCTGACTAGTCCTTGTTTGACTAGACTTGTTTATTAAACAATTTTTTTCTACAAATTATAAAAAAACGATTGTTTTTAAAACTTAATTTTTGTTTCACATAAGTTAAAATATATATAACTCTATTCATCGAGTTTATTTAAAGAAAATAATACATTTTTTTAAAAATAATTTGGAAATACTTAATGCTTAACACTCAATGTTCTTTTTAATATATTTTAGTACAATTAAGTTCATTGTATTTGATACATATAAGATATACATTGATTTTTTATTTTTACTCAAATTAATAACATAATTAAATTTATTTGAAGCCCTAATAAAAACATCATCGTTGTAAAAATATACCTAATTTTTAAAATGATATCTTAACTAAAAATCAAAAGATTATCTTATATTTTTATAATTGTAGTAGTTGCCTCGTTCAAAAAATTTGTGTTATTGAGATGAAAATTTTACTAAATCTTAACAATGCTTTGCTTTTGATTGATGAATATCGCAACTAGTAAATCCAGTAATATTTTTCTTACAAATTTAAAAAATAACCTTTTAGAAAAAAAGTGTTTCACAATAATGTTTTTTTTTCATATTGATCTTAAAAATTGATATAATATTTGATTTTATGTAAAAAATACTTACGTATAGTTGCATTTTCTGATTATGGCAAATAATTATACAAATAACGGAACGTATTTTGGCTACAGTTTGTTTATTTAATTAAGATTTTTTATTTCTTTGTTGTATGAAAAGGCCCACACCTACCTTTTTCTTCGCCCTAAAAAAATGTTTATTTTATCAAAATGTGATTTGCATTACTAATATGCAGTTCGACAAGGGAAAACGGATTTATGTTGAATAATTTTAAATGTAAATTTTCTAAGTGCTTTTATAAATGATTGACATAATTAGGAAAAAATAAAAATCAAATCTGTAGCATTCGTATTTGGCTCATAATGTCCATTGTGTCGACAATGATTTAAATTAATGGATCAATTTTGAAATTTTGGTGGATGTGAATCTATTTAATTTTTATTCCTATAAAAATACCTACCAGTAATGTCATTATTTTGTTATTAATTAACGCATTATTACTTAATGCGATGTGATTTACTATAAATATTAAATAACTACTTTGTTTTGATACATTGTAATATGATTTATCACAAAAATAATCTTCAGACCGAATAGCGCTATATATTTTCAACATAATACTATCAGTTGCATTATAATAATAAAAATAATAGGTAAATATTAATGATAATACTTCATCGTAACGCGAGCAAAGCGATCACTTTAATGGTTGTAAATAATAATGTAGTTAATACCAATATAATTATATTGTACGCTAGTTTGTCTATGTATCATATTGATAAGAATAACGACCTAATAAATATGCCGATAAAGTCGTCTCAAAACAAATTAATAATAAATAACGTCATCGTTAAATGTGAATGTATTTTTCAAAATTATGTTGTAAGTGAATGTTTAAATATTATAGTAGTTAATTTAGTGATTTATTAGTTATACAATAGATATCGTCTTAATTAGCTACCCGGTAACATCCATAGAAAAAAAATATAGTAGAAATATGAATACATTTCACGGTTGGCTCGATAAAAATACATTGTTAATATATCTGATCAAGTCAATGATTTTTTAAGGCATTGTGCGCCCGCCCTTAAAACGTGTATGCTGTTCACCGTTTCGTGTTATTTTAAATTAAATCAGTGTCCATAAAAACGGATCGATTCGAATCAAAACATTGTTTTGATTAAACACTAATTAGTCCAAAATAAAACGGTAGTCGTATACGCCGTTAAGTATCACTGCCATTTGTGTTTTGTGTCAGAACACCTGAATAGTTAATCGGACACACGCGATTTCTAACGCAAAAAAATATCGCACATGTGTAGTAACAAGCAATACATTTAAGTATACCAGTGTTTATTAACACATAAGACTCGATGATTTATCTGCGTTAATTGTATTTTTTCATTACTTCCCATTCGGTCGTATATTCGTAACCGCCGAATATAAGATATGACGACGGCCACTATGTTTTCCGGAGGGTACCGTACTTACAAACACTGCTGTGTTGATATGTGTGCTCGGAAAAAGGTGGGTTTTTAGGTTGATTGATGGAGAAGTGGTCGAACTACCGGAAATGGTAAAATATGCTGCACGCGCACAAAGGTATGTCTATACGTTTCCGTGCAAAACAAGCAACCCAAGAGTATTATTCGCCGTAGGAAGGTGTAGGAAAAAGTTTTAGCTGAAACCTAATTGATGTATATCATGTGTTCTTCTTGTTTATATTGTTTTAATGCACGTAAAGATATTTCAAAAATAGTCATGGCCGACACACGTTTTCACCTCGACACCTCAGTTTCTTAATTTTCCATCCCTAGTTTGTTATCGATCCGCAACACTTACACTTAGTCGGAACTAGTAAAAGTGTGCAGACAGTTTGCAGACCAGATTTTCTTTGGAGTGAAAGAATAAGTTTTTGACGTGTAAGGAATATAAACGATTGTTTATTAGAAAATATAAAACAAAATGTCTGGTTAAAACTCCAAAAAACAAACTTGGTCGTCTAAAAAAGTCAAAAACCGTTATTGCAGTCCAAACGATCTGTTTGCGGGTCGACTGTTGCGAAATAGGTCCAAGAATAACACCTCGAGTGTCGACCCAAACAATGTTTTAACGACATCGGTTAAGTGAGTCGCGGAGGAACCTTTCAGGTGGGAGATGCAAACACTCGAGGACAAGAGCATTCGGCTTAATAGCGACGAACACGAGAAAACGATAGGGCGAAGGAAAAATGGGTCTGGAAGCCTATACACATTATGTATGAAGAGGCAATAGGGTTGTAATGATATTACGGTGGTTGATATGACCGGTGGGGTGATGTCGGCCGTTATAACGTTGCGATCATTATGCACGATGTCGTTTTACGGCTAAAGCAATTAACGCCACGAGTAATTAGTCGGCAGCGTTGACAAGCTCTTGGATGTGTTGTAAAACGGCGGCGGTCGTGTAGGTACGCAATAAGCCGCGAATCCAACGGGTTGGGTTCTGCACCCGGACCGATGCAAACGGTAAATAGGCCGTGAACCGTCTGCTACCGATGCGACTAGTAAAAGGACGAGATATTTTATTTAAAAAATACCGATGGGTTTTCCGATGATTGATGTAGCTGCTGTTACAACGTACTCCGCGAGTTACCTTTCGGATAAGCCGTCGCCTGGTTTTGTGTTCCAAAGTGCTCCGAACGAGTACAATAGCGTTTGAAATTTGGATGGGAAAAATAAATAAATTACACTGCAGCGCGTGCGGTTGCCCTGACTTTTGTATATGAATATAATATGTAAACTATTATTTGACGTTTGAATACCAAAACGATAAAATACAAGTGCATTGTTGTTGTTACTATAGTTAACATTATTTTTTAGACACGAATACGCCAATCGCCTTCTGAAATAAATAATAGATAGTTGCCTGGTGAAAATCAAAACAGAAAAATAAAACTTGTTTTTTTTTTAGTTTTTACACACTTGAATTGTATTCATTATTTTAGAAATACGTCTGTAACTGCTCGAGAAAAATATTTTAAGTTGACAGCAAAACTTACCAATCATAACGACCGAAAAATGAGGAAAACAACTAAGTTATACGCTATATTTTGGTAATTTTACAATGAAAATTGTATTTCAATAATTTCAAGGCTACCTTAATGATAAACATTAGTATTTTAATCGCAATTATGAGTTTTTAATAAACAAAAACGGGTTATTTTCGTTAAAGGAAGTTACGATTATTATAATGATAATATTATAATAATCATGAATACAAAAACTTTAATTTTACTATTCGAAATTTAATATTAGAGTTGAGCAAATTATTTAATATTTACTGTCGGTATTAAACTAATAATCAATCATTAAATATTCCAATTAATAAAATAAAAATACGCCACTTCTCGACACAATAATCAAACACAACTTTTAGAATTTATCATTGTATGCATTTTTATACCCTTACTGTCCACTATACACTTTCATGTTTCCAGACAATTTATAATATTTTATTTAAATTCATCTAAAAACGATTGCACAAAAACACATATAAACGAAATCTGGTTTACATTTAGTAAATACCATATAAAAAAAAAAATGAATTCAAATAGAAAATAAAAATTTAGAACAGTCACGGAAGTGTTTATGTCTTCATAAAGACATGAAAACTTTAATATATTTGTGAATATTATAAAATGTATAGAAAATCCGCAATAGGTATTTTTTTTCTTCATAAGAGACAAATAATAAAAAATGTATTTTTAACGAAACTATAAAAATGTTATTAAAAAATGTAACGTAAAATATTGGCCGAATTAAAAGTTATAAAAGCATCAAAACCTGATGGGACGCCTTGTCTATGTAATAATTATATATACATTACAAAAAATGATATTATTCACATAAAATTAAAAACTCTATCTCTTATTTGTGATAAAATTCCAAGATGTTAAACACAGTTAATACAAAAGACTAAATAGTTATTTACACTGATAACGGTTGGACCAGAATAGTATCTCACTATTTAAAATTATCATTAAAAAGGTAATCTGTGATAGTATTCAATCATTTGGATAGTTGATATTAAATTCATCTTGAAATTTGGGTTTTAACACAATTTTGTATAATACCTGTTTAAATTTAGGATATATTGAAAAAACCAATAAATTCGATTTCGCATACTTCGGATTGCACAACGGCCCATCCTTAATTATTATATAATCGAATAATAATAATTGGATAGATGCGGAGAAAAAAACGAGTTTACATTCATCTTAAAACCTTTTGCTACGGATAGGATTTTAATCATTTTTAATTATATTCTGCCGCATAATTACACTATATTTAAATAACTATGTTCATAAAAAGACGCTTTGTACTATGACACGTGCAAGAATATTGCAATAAAATTTAATAATATATTATTTTCTGTCGCAAACCTCTTTTGACGGGAGTTTTAAAGCAATGTCATTGTCGGGAGAGATGACTGAAATAAGAGTCGAATAATACTGTCTTGAGACGTACAGTTTTGAAACAAGTCCATTTTCTTCAAAATAAAACAGACTTACAACGTCGATAATTTCTAAAAAATTATGAGAATTATGCAAAGTTTATTATTAATAATAAACTTTCCATAATTTAAAAGCACCGATTGAGCTCTAATAGTTGATACTCAGCGGTTGGGTTTTAGCGCTTGAAAGTTATTTGTGTCGTCGACGGGTTTAGGTAAGTTTATCTCAACCCTTAAACCCTCCAAGTAAGAAGAATAAAAATATATTATTTTAAAGCGCCAAGTCTAGATGAACCATTTATTTGAGTTTCCCGCTGTTTCCTTCAAAATCTACGCATTTTTTCCATCCGTAATTATTCAATAGTATAAGATTAATAAATATACTCTGTTATATTTTATCAGCAGATATCAAGTAGTTATCACACGCGTTAAACGTACACACATTGTGTATTTATATGGGCGAGTTCTTATGATTGTTATGATTACAAATAATTACTAACTGAAGAACAATCGTCAAAATAAGGTCGGGGTATAACGTAATAGAAAAAGTGGGGTGTTGGTGTAACGTTACGCACCACCATTTACTAAATTTGGGGCCTTTAGGCTTCGTGAGGGTGTACACATTATAAAATTAAGATTTCAAACAATTACAAAATCAATAACAATCGTTAGTGAAATTTTATCATTTAACTGTAATGAGAGCGCTAAAGTAACGCACATTATTTTCTAGGGATATTATTGAGTTCTACTAAAGTTTCTGAATTCCAACCTTAACTGTCGACAGATTCAACACTCGAATATCATTTCGGCCGTTATCAAATTCAGAAATGCTCTTTGAAAACCCGATAACCACATCCCACAATACGAGGCACAAATATTTCGAAAATACCTTAAAAGATTTGAAATTGCATGATGTATAAGTGGTTTTATAATAGAACGCGGTCAAATAGTTTGATGCATAAAATTATTTAATAATATATATCTTGTTGATTAATTAATGTCATTTTTTAGATAATGAAAAATAACAAAGTACATCTTAAATAAATAATATATAATGTTTTTAATAAAATATATTTTTTTTAATTAAAGAAAACACAAAAATTAAACTACCGTCATTAAAAAAATGTTGTTTTTTCAATGAATTACTTGAGCTGATTACTTTGTTTACGTTTCCTTATAGAATTTATGTTTAGTATTTTTATGAATAAATATGCGCTAATAAAATTCGATAATTTTTAGTAAGATAAATAAATAAATGTTTGTTATATTAGAGATTGGACAACTTTTCAAGTTTTACTTGAACTTTCCCTGCCAATGTTGTTTTGTTTAATAGAAATTTTAAATTATAACTCCGGTTTTTTTATTATTTTAGAAAATTATTTTTAAATATAAATCAAATAATCGATGTTTAAATTGTATTAAATTAGTAAACTAATAATTTATTTTTATATATAAAAAATAACTTGAGAATTATCATGGGACATCGTGTTACATAATTGCTTTGCAGGAAAACACATTTCTGAAAAAAAAAAATGTTTCAATTACATAATGTTTGGTTTCAAATTTGTTACCACTTATTTTCCTATATATATATATATTTGTTTAACAATAATATATTTAAAATTAATATAATCAAGTCATTATTTCCTACGGAGAAGTCACAATTTTATTTACTTAAAAATTATTGCACTATTTTTAAACCAATGTTGATGGAAAATAACTTATTTTTATTTCGTATTACACTTGATGATTTTATTAAAAAACAAAAAGCGGCAATAAAACGAGCGTCTGTATATTCGTAGAAAAGAAAATATTATTATGAAATAGCGAATAAAAACAATTCAATTTTTATTTATACCTATTATTATTTCTGAAAAAATATGTGTTCGAGTCATCTGTGAGTGTTGAAAACGTCGTAAAATAAAAAAAAGCACGTGAGTATTGATTGTACATTAGCACTTGCTAATAAAAAAAAAAAAACTTACGAACAACGAAAAAATCGTATGTTTATTAAACTCGACGTGTTATTATAGACAATAAATCGTTTAACCTCTTCATTGCTTTCATTTTATATTTCACGTCGACTGACGTTAAGTGCAGTGTACCGTACCCTAAAACACACGCAACATAATCTGTTGTTAACATGTAACTCATTTTTTACAAATCCTTTGCCCATTGTTCGCGTTGTTTGAATATGTATTTGTATATTGGAACGTATTAATACATTTCATGACCTATCGATACACAACATCGAATGTCAAACAGTTCTAAATTAATTCTTCTCCGGCCAACCGATTCTTGGGGTTCGTGAACTCCGCAAACGCCGTTCAAAACGGTAAAATAATACACACAATTTTAGTGTCGACATTTGTTATTGCGCACCGACTGGTTCGTCTAACGTGAAAGTTACCTAGTGACTGTCGTGTAACCCGTTCGTTTCCACTGCAGGTACACGGTGCGGGGGCGACATCGACCTGAAGGAGATTAATGCGATGCGAATAGAAGGGCTTGTAATAAAAAGCTGCCGAGTGGAAAAACCAAGAGTGCCTTTCAGACTCGAGAGGGGAGACGGGGCGACGAGGGAAAGAGTTGAAAGCTAGTGGTATTCTAAAAGAGTCTCGTGTGCGGTGGCCAATCATTTCGCATTGCACTTGACAACCGGACAAAACGTTCGAATCGATTTCATTTCACCGACATGAGTTATGTTCAATAGGTAGACTCAACCGTTTTGTTTTACAATCTACCCTTTGACACATTTCCATCAGGTATCCAATTAAACCGATGAAATCCAAAAAGTCGTTGAAAAATCAATCGAGTTAAAAACAACGTTATTGGTAAAGTCTAATGGAGAATTAATCATTGGGCTTTTTTCATCCTATTCGCTCCAATGAGTTCTCTTTATTGTGTTTATTTTGATTTTATTTAAATTTTTAGATTACTATGTACCGTCGCATTGGTCTATCAAAAGACATAAATATAATAAATTACTGCTCTTTTTGTTGAAATATTAATAATGTAATAGTTTTTACTGAATCGAGTTTGTATTTCCGTCTCGTCTCGTTTGAAATTAATTATTAATACTTGACAATTTTTTAAACTCGTCTATTTATTTATTTATAAAATTAACCGACGTAGACTTTTTTTACAAACACAGGTTGTTTAACAATTTCTTGAAATACAATATAATTCACGGCAATTCATCTGAAATATTCGGAAAAAATAATATGACGCGCAAATATACAAAAAAAAAAAAAATGAATAATATTTTTAGCTGCACAGAATATGATAAAAGAGTGAGGTTATAAGATAACACGCGAGGGTCCGTGTTGACACTATTTAAAATTCGTCTGAACGGCTGATTCGGTAAATAATTAGTGGAACTAATTGGGGTGGAAATGGAATATATAAACGTGAATTTCTCTTCGGAACTTTAACATTAATTAATGACAAGAGATTGAGTGAGTCAACTTTACCATCCAGCAAACCGTTTAAAAATTTTAGGCCTGTGTCAATTTTACGACACGCCAGCGATGTGAAATTGAGGTTATTTGCAACGGTAGTATAATCATGAGGGGCATGCTGAATATCCAATACAAATTCAGGCAGCCGTAAAAATCTCTGTTGCACTTTTTCAATTTGACAGACATCAGATGAAGAATGAGGACTCCAAACAGTGGTACCATACTCGAGAATTGGCCGGAGGATTATAACATTTTCAATGAAATATTTAGTTAGAAGCTAATCTCAGTACAAGGCCAAGTGCTTTAAACGTTTTACAACACATCATTTCGACGTGTGTTGTTGGTGTACTAATTTAAACGAAATTTATTTAAACTTCAAGACCGCTCACGAGACCTTATCGTTGCATGACATCGGCTGTGAAACAGTAGGAATTGAAGAATACAATATGATGATATAATAAGACAACATAAACAATTGAAAGAATACATTTCCTGAGATGTTATGTATAATAATTGCAGTTTTGTTCGGAAGATCGCGAGAAATATATTTTTAGTGCTTATCGATTCATCGCAACTCAAAGGAACGTTACAGTAAAAATGGTGAAAATATTTCCATTCCTTAGGCGGTTAAGGTGTCCGCTCGTTTGTTTTTGACGGAGTATTTACACTTATTGGTTTTGGCCTATTTAGAATTCGAATTTTATTCTAAACGATCTATAAAGAAAAAAATCTTTACAACTCAGTTACCAAGTGTGTGCGACAAAAGTAGTGTCATTTTAAATACTCTTGAATTGGTAGAAAAAAACACTTGGTCGATTATCATAACATGACCAAGTGTTTTTTAAGATCTCATACTATGGCATCTAATACAAGTGATGAATAAATAATGTTGAATTATAGTGTAATATGTTTTTTATTACAACCAAGATCGACGTTAGTCCTACGGGTATGCGGTTGTACTAGTGAACCACTTGACTAGAACTCTCAACACTGGTGGGGGGCAAGGTCTTTTTGGCGGTAAAGCAAGGGCACACGGACCGGGCACCGGTTCCCCGGGTGCTCATTACGCATCGGCCGCGCGTGCTAATCGTTGAACTCTACGCACCGCCGGTACAGCCAATCAATTTCTATACAGCTGTTCTTATCAACGGCCGCCCGTTTCTCAAACCGCGGCTCATATATGCACACCGCGCGTCACAACAACATTAAGTCGGCCGTGTGAAGCGTTAAACAGAGATTGTTCGCGCGCGCCCCCCGACCGCGTGTGATCACAGTGCTTATTTATTTATTTGTTTGTTATTGTTTCCATTATTTTTGTGCGCTCGAAATTTATTACGGTCATTGTTTGTCGATTGGAATTCAATACGGCCGAAAATTGTTTTTAAACATAATTTATTGTTTCGTAAACAATTTGTTCGTTAGTGCTCAAAAATATGCAATTTTTGACCGGCACGTCGCAGACAAGAGCCGGCGGCGGTATGTTTGGCGGCGCCGATCGCGCGGAGTTGTACGCGGCCACGGCGTCGGCGCCTGACCATTACTTTTGTCAGCGAATGTTGTACGCGATGCAGTTCGATTCGGTGGCCGCGGCCGGCGCCGGTATGTGTTCGCCGTTGTTGCCTTCGTCGTCGTCGTCGTCTTCGTATTCGTGGTCGTCGCCGCCACTGTTGCCGCCGTCTTCGGTGTCTTCGTCTTCCTCGCCATCGGCACCATCGCCTCCGTCGTCTCAGGCGTCTCCTTCGCCATCGTCAATTGGTCGGTTTCAGGAAGCGTCTGTTAACGGTTGCTCGGTAGCCGGAGACGTAAAAATGATGGACGCCTGTCCGTCGGCATCTCCGACGCAGGCTGTCCACGACCATCAACTTCACCATGTCGTCGAAAACAGGAAACGACCACTTTCGGATACTATGGACAACGTATCGAACGTTAAAAGAACTCACAGCTCGTCGGTCACGGGTAATGTTTTTTCTAAGTTCATAAGGTCGCAGAGATAACTCAGATTTAGATATAACAAACATTGAACTATCCTAATAAAAAATTGTTTCCAACAATCATTAATTAATATTTAGATTAAATCAATAAATGATATCTTTATTCAATCAAATTCGCTCAGCTGCGATAATACATCACGTTTATATAATAATAAAATATAAATAATTTTTACACGCTAACATGCTCCTCGTATGCACGTCGTTGGCGTAATTAAATCTAATAACCTTAGTGAGGTATTATTCGCTGAATTATTTGATTAGTCGAATCTGTGTAAATAGTTATACCTATCAAGTTAATTATATACTCATTGGGTTTCTATGTATCAGCTTAAAACTTGATATCTTCTTCTAATAGCTCGTGGTCGATTAATATTGTATAAAATAACGTTCTGTGAACATTGATCGAGACGTAGAGAAGAAAAATATTTTAATTAGTCAATTGTTAAAAATGTTGCATCGATACTAAAATTAAATTTACATACAATAAAGTAGATTTTAACTACATAGTTTTAATAGCTTTAAATTTTAATCGAACGACGAAACGCGAGTTAGACGTAAATATAAAAAACCGGATAGAAAATTAAACGAAATGAGGTTATTAAAAAATATATATTAATTATGTTTATTATTGTTATTGTGTTTTTCCAGAAATATTTCATTCAACAGTTTTTGCCGCATGTTTTACGATAATAGTGTATAACGTTAGTAATGTATCCGTTTAGTAAATATTTGATTGGGATCACGTTTTTAATTTAATTATTAATCAAGTATTCTAACGCTAGTAAACAAGTATAATAAATAGTTTTTTTTTGGGCCGCCATAATAATGTAACAAGTGAATAGTTGCGGACTCGTTCATCCCAAAAGTGAAAACGATTTTATTAGGGTGAAACAAAATGTGTACGCTAAATGGGTAGAAACGGAGAGTACACTTGGACGGTTTCCGTGCCGAACAAAGTGTTTTGTTTCACACTTAGTTATATTCCAAAAAGAATTTCATCACAAATACCGCTCGTATGCCCCTAATGATCGGTGTACACCGATGTCTGGAAGTCTAACGCTAAAAAACCGTATGCTGAGTAGTAAAAAGAAAATTGAGAATAGAAAGCGTATGCCAAACGGTCGATATGTATTTATAAGTTTTATGAGATTTGTGTTGTAGGCTTTAAAATAACGGGGGAAAAAACTGCTTGAACGGGCATCGTATTACGTTTAAAAAATATTAAATTCTGAATAATTCTATGGTTTCGCGTACACCGCGTGACACACGTAGGATATATTTCCGCCGTTATTTTTTTCGTAGATTAAAATTCCGAAACGCCTAACAACAATTATCTGTACGCTTTTGTAAACTTAAGAGCGGATATTGGCCAGTGTACGATAAGGCCGAACGATAAGCCGGCGTGTATTTTGACTGTTGGTTTCAATTAATATTCGAGTGGTTAAAGTATGTTTTTTGTTGGCTTCTTACTGTGGAGAAATTGTCATATTAATAGGCGTATATTGTTATTGTTAATATTTAAGTACTTTTCACGGACGTCGTACGAAAATGATTTACTTCGTCGAACGATAACACGAAACTGATCGCGCACAAAAATGACATTTTGAAATATTTACAATTCGTATGTTCACCTTATAAGCTTTTGATTTATTTCCGCGACAGTTGCTAACCGTGGAAAACAAGTAAATCTTTTCCTGAGATTTATATTATGTACACCTTTATTTATATTGTTCTCGAGCGGTTTGTTCGGAAATCGTAAAACTGTTTGGGGCCGTTATTTTTACGCGCAATAAAAAAAACTGTTTCCCATTAAACAAAGTACTTAAATCTGGCACAAACATGTCCAATGATTTTTAAATTTTCGTTCGTCTTCGATGTTATAACATTCGATGACTTCAAATCGTCACGCACTTTGAAATAATTTTAAAACAAATTTTATTATAAGTTTGTCATTTTTTCGTTCAAATGTGACTTTAATGGATAACTAAAAAATTTCGCTTAAAGTTTACGGGATTACCGTTGAACGTTTTATTTTAGTAATCAATGTCTAGTGTTGAACTGCAGTCGCTATTTTGCAATAATGTTCCTTATTTGTTAACGTTTTTCATAATACAAAATGTATTCATTATAATTATATTTTGGTCTGACAACGAAAGACAATATATTCGCATTTAATGATAAAAATAATCCTAAAAATGTCTGAACAATGCTATTGAAATTTATCCCTGCACATAAACTACTTCTCAATATTGAATATTTCAGCAGTTATGGTTAGTAAAACGGCAATGCTGTTTTGTTTAGCAAAAAATACAGTAGCCAACGTTATGTGTATTTGAATCATCGGAGACTACAGTAATTCAATTTAGTTTTCAATAAGTGAATTAGGCTCCTTCGTCGGTGAGGTCCTTTAAAAAGTTATTGTCCTGTCGGATTAATTAATATATTTGTCCATTAGTGCAAGTCATAGCCACAGTACTACAGACACAATTAAACGGCCGTTAAGGTTAAAAAAGGTCATGTTCATTATTGTCCTTGGACACATAAAATTGTAATAATTTAAATGAATATTGAAGTAATATTAATGCTATTCACGTGACTCTCATATAATAATGCTCAACGGCATAAAAAATTAATTTAGTGAAACGGAAAAAGGAAAAAAAATACACTCAATACGCATACATCGAATCCAAATACACTCAGTAGATAGCAAGATATTCGTATCAAATATGTTCTTTACGCCCACACACTTTTAATTAATTTGCTGCTGTAATATTGCCAGTAACACATAACATGAGTTCTGATCCTAGTAAAATCATTAGACTTTCAGTACACAGTATTCGTTATAGTTGAAGAACAATAAGCTGAGATTACATTTGTTGCGGAAAGTATTAGACAAAACGAGTCGATGATATAGACTAGTGTTGAAAATAAATAACAATATTTTTTGATTTTTATTTTGCTGTTGTTACAAAATTAAGAACGTTCATGTGCAGCCGTGCAGACAAATTTCACCATGAAAATACCTTCACCGAGTTCCAATCGCTCACTTGTAGAGTAATAAAATTTTAATGCGGAAAGTTTAATACTATCATTCTTTAATTCCGGAAATATACAGCGATAAAAAGTACAGCTTATAGTCCACGTTTGAAATATTAATACCAATAGAATATCAATTAAAAAAATATAACTGTTTATTTATCTCAATCGAACCGCTCCATGAAGTCTGCAATACTTCCTACGCCGAACAAAAAAAGTCTACTGTTCGTATTGAAAACAAGTGAAAATTCACCGCCCTTTGTATTATATTTTTGTTTATAATAAAATTAAAAGTGAAATGGAGAGATAAAATACATTGTTTTATTAACATGACACTTCAGCTAACTTTATTAAAACAAATTGAAATTGTACTTAATTGTATTTAGAGACTAAATGAAAACGTTATAAATGAAACATTTTTAAATAAAACCAAATTCAGTTACTCTAGTATTACTTAGTTATTTTGTATTTCATCATTTTTTAATAATCAATAGCCATTAGGGATGCTAAAACAATTAAAATGTTAAATAACTATTACAAAAAATTCAATTTGTATTTTTCAAATTTATAAAAAAAATCATTTAATCTTGACTCTTTCTAAAGTGTAAATACTCATCAACTTATATTCAGAATCATTTGTCACGGTCAAGTATTTTTTATTAAGAAAAAGTACTTTTAGTTTACAATAATAATTCTTTTGCAAATAAAATCAGCTCTATAAGTTGAATTTGATACGAAAACGTGATTCGGTATTTTTTTACATAATTTGTTTCTCTTTAACAAAGTATCATATTACTTTTAGATGGAAATGCATGCGATCATTCTGTATTGCGTTTTATTAAGAATGCCATTTTTACTCGAAATATGTTTTTTTAATAAAAATTTACAGATTAAATTTGCATTTTTTGAACCGTAGTAAATATCAAGTTGATCGTAAAAAAAATTAGTTCTAAGGGTAGATTAAGTTTTCGCAAGTAATTAGGAATCTATAATCATTTTTTATTTATAATTACTTCTATTAAAATGGGTAAAGGACTAAATAAAAATTTGATTAGTCCATAACTAGTTTTGCATTATTACTTTTTGAGTATTATTAATTATTATTAATAATAATTATTATTAAATATTATTAATTAGAATAACTTTTAGTTATAGACGAGAGGGTTCTAAACGAAGGGGTTAAACGTGTTCTTATCTGAATTTTATGATATAAAAATAGAACGTCGTTAAACACTACTCCGCTCCTCCCCTATCCTAAATCATTAAATGCAAGTATCTCAAAAAGTAATGTTAAAAAAACTGGTTCAACATTTATTTTTATCATTCTTCATTTAATAGAAAAAAAATATTTGATAGATTCCCAGATATTTTTCAAAAGTCACTTTTAAAATCTACCCTTATATTTTTTTCTTACAATTTACTATATTTCATAAATAGAAATCGAAATTTAATCTGTACATTTTTATAAAAATATGATTTAATGCTAAATGAAGGGTAGTATTTTTAATAAATCACACTGTATAATTTACTGATATAGTTTATTGAAGATAAAAATTTATTACATAAACAACCTTTTTTTGTTGTAATTTTAAGATAATAAACATGTATGACCTTTAAATCTCTTGATTAACTAAAAACCGTGTTTCAAAGATAACAAGTTTTTAAATTGAAAACCTTATTCAATCTTAAAAAAATAGAATGACAATAAAATAATAATTGACATTAGTAAATAACAATTACATGAAGATTATTTATAATCCATAAATTTACATTGAAAAATCAATAAAAAAGCTACAAACAGCTTATATTCATTTATATGAATATTTTTCTTTGTTGTAAATAATTCTGTTGTATCAATGAATATGGTAAAAATATTAATTGTTTTTTATAAACCTTCTTCCTAAGATAACTTCTCGTTTGTGTCTGTCT